ACTGGGGCGGCTGCAGGGCAAGGCCGCGACGGTGAGGCCGCGACGGTGAGGCCGCGACGGCGGCTGCAGGTGCGTCAGCGGCAAGGCAGGGCTGCGACAGGTGCTGCAGGCGCGACGGCGGCTGCAGGGCAGGGCGCGACAGTGGGGCCGCGACGGTGGCAGCAGGCGCGTCGGCGTAGAAGGGAGGGCCGCGACAGCGGCTGCAGGTCAGGGGCCACGACTTGGGGCGGCAGGGCAGGGCCGCGACGTAGGGCGGCAGGAGAGGGCCGCGACGGGCGGTAAAGCAGGGCCGCGACGGGCAGCGGATTAGGTCGCGACGAGCGGCGACAAGGCAGGGCCGCGACGGGCGGCTCAGGCAGGGTCGCAACTAGCGCGACAGCAGGGCAAGGCGCGCGATGGCGCAGGAGAGGCAGGTGCGACAGCGCGCTTCGGGCAGGTAAGACAGTTTCAGTGGTGGGCCCTTAAAAAAAAACGTTCCCACGGAGGGAACCTGCTCAGAATACCATGTCAGAATGAGAACGAAGGAAATGACTGAACTAGAAAGCAGGTGGGTACAAGTAGGAAACCTAAAAGTGTTGTACCCTATATGAACAACCCCACTACAGCCTACACTGACTATAGCATATAAGTTTGACACATCGGGCATGTGGCTTGTGCTTGGAGGACGGGGTCCAGTGGTACTCACAGGACACTCCGACGCTTCTTGGGCTTACGACCAGGCGACTCAGCGGTCGTCCCGGGGTTACTCTTTCAGTCTCGGCTCTGGTTATGTCTCGTGGAGGGCCACTCGTTCATCTTTTGTGCTTGGTTCCAGCTGTGAGGCCGAGATATACGCTGGGGCCATGGCTGCACAGGAGTTACGCTGGCTGACCTACATGCTGGCCGACTTGGGTGAGCGGCCTCGTTCTCCTCCAGTTCTGTACGTTGACAACAAGGCCATGATTGCCTTGTGTCAGGAGCAGAGACTGGAGCACCGAACGAAGCACATTGCTCTTCGTTACTTTCTTGCTCGGGAGCTGCAGCAGCGTGGTCAGCTGCGCCTTGCTTACGTGGCCTCTCGGGCCAACACTGCTGATGTCTTCACCAAGGCCCTTGGTTCTGGTGATCATCAGCGTTTCTGCACTGCTCTAGGCCTTGTGCCTACTCTGCCTCAGACGGTGTGTGTTACAACACTCAACCACCATGCAAAACGCAACAATCCCCACTATTGGAAGCGATGGTAATAACTTAGAATCTCCTAAGAATCTTGGAATCCAACTTGTATGGTAAACCCAAGAAAATGTGTTAAGAAGTGAGTTTCCCAAATGGAAACCCCTAATGTTTATGGTTTGGGTCCTAGGAAATAGTACCATCAAATTGTATTTGTTCTCTGTAGGCTGTAGTGGGGCATACCCTAAAGGGTACAACCCTTTAGGGTTAGGTAGTACTTGTACTCACTCTTCCTACCTAGTCCACCATTCGTACGTTCCTACTTCTGACACACTGTACACCACAAGTTCTCCCAACCCAACCAATGTATACTACACCATTAAAGCGTAGATTCACTACTACATGTTGAGATGAGTCCACATGTGTTGCTGAGGGTACATTCGGGCCTTGACGCGTCACAAAAGTTTGCGCCGCAATCGAATGTACCGCTCCGTACCGAACTATACCAAAGTTATGATTCTTTTTTACTATGTTCGATACATGGGTGTAATTCGGTGTAATACGATGCAGTGCGGTAGAAACGATTGTGACGTGGACTTTTGTGACATGTCAAGGCCCGAATGTACCCTGAGTAAATTGGTAATCTCAACAAGGGCACCAATTCTCACAGAGACTGGCGCCCGCCTCGGACTTCGCCATGAGGGATAGCAGCTGGTAGGGTCAGAGAGACTGCCGTCCGCCTCCAGCTTCGCCACGAGGGCTAGCCCTGGGCAGCACAAGAGAGCAAGGAAGGATAAACTTGAGACGCTAAAAGCCATCGTAGCGCGTATCAGTGGCTTCGAGATAGCAACTGGCAGATTCACAGAGGTTGCCGCCCGCCTCTAACTTCGCCTGCACCTGCTTTCGCCATGAGGGCTAGCCCTGGGCGGCACATGAGAGCAAGGAAGGATGACTCAGTGGATTAGGGCGGCGACACGACACCGACTTTATCATCTGACCAATTGCGAGAGATCAGTTGGCTTTCTGCTGTCAAAACTTCTCTGGTGTATGCGTGATAATGCACCGACTCCACGACACCCATGTCTGTACCTACCCACCTACACCCCCACACACCCACAATGTATCATAGAGGCTCATCCTCTCACCCACTCACCCACGACACCCATGGCACCCCACGACACCCACGACACCCATGACACCCATGGCACCCATGGCACCCATGACACCCATGGCACCCATGGCACCCATGACACCCATGGCACCCATGCATGTACCCACTCTTTTTTTTTTTTTTTTTTTTTGGGACATAATACACTATGCAATGCATTACATCCACTGTCGTAACTGGATAGGGAGGGAAGATGCAGGCCAACCTCTTACAGTTTGCACTGCCTTCCCTGTAGACTTCTACGGTGGCTTAAAGAAAGTACTGGGTCTCTCCCATATCGAGCTGAAAGCACTATTCCACACCAGTTGCTCGTCTTGTTCGCAGATGCGGCTCAGTGCAGCCGCCTCACCAGTTGTCAAGTTTGGCCAGACTCCTCCAGCCCCTCCCTTCCTCTGTCCTTCTTTGCCACCGCACTCCTCACTGTAGATCCGCACATGCCTCATGAAATTTGCCCCAATCTTCTGGGCCACACATCCCTCATCAAGCAGTGGGTTGGCGACTCCTCCTGCTTGCAGTAAGGGCAGCATGCACGCGAGCCGAAGAAAGCCAGCCTGCTGCCCACTTGCAGGTTGTGACTGTGCAGCCTCAGCAAAACCTCTCTTGCCTTGGCTGGGATGGCCAACGAGTCCCTCTTCACGATGGCCCTCTCCCAGTCTATCTTTCCTCCCCAGCTCTCTTCCCATTTTTTCTGCTGCTTTGGCTGATGCGTCGGCTTCTTGAGTAGGTGCCTCAGCTTCCTTTGCGCCGTTGGCTTACCCTCCGCACAGAGAAACGAGGCCCGTAATCGCGTCAGTGGGTCTCCCGCCTGCCCTAACACGTACCCTCCGCTCGCCACCATCGGAGTTAGTATGCTAATCCGCGACGGCGGCTGTACCTCCATCCCCACCTGCCTTATCTTCCCACTGTTATCCACCTCTACTCTCTCGCACTTTAGTACTTCGTTGTCCGACAGTGCCACTTGAAAGTAGCTCTGACTCCCTCCCACCGTCCTCCCCACTTTGACCAGGGTCGTGGCTTCAGCAATTTCCGCCGCCGACACCTTCGCGAGCAATTTCTTTTTCCAGCTCTCTGGGATTGCTTTCCAGGCCATTAGCGCCCACCTCGCCGTGGACGATCTCCCCGTCTGCTTGGTCAGCGTCCACAGGTCTTTCACCATCCAACTCCCATCATACTCCTCCTGCAGTAAGTCTCCCACACTCAAACCCTTCAGGCATTCCGAGCCTTTCTGCCTCCCAAAAGGACTTTCCCCTTGATAGTGAATCCATCTGCTGAACCACAAATGCTCCTTCGCCATCTCCCACCTGTTTGCAGGTTAAGGTAGCTCCGGCAGCTGTTTCTCCCACATTAAAGGCACCAGCGACTGCCAGCGTTCGCTTCCACCTTTCCACTCTGCGAGGATTGCCTTGTGTGCCAGCAGTGTTGCCCAGCCCAGGGGCATGTTCGCTGCTCTCTCCAACAGCCACTGCTTCATCGGGTTTTCCTCCAGCAGGACCGCCCCTAGGTTCCACAGCGCTTGTCCGTTGATCCTTTCTGTCGGGCTAATCACCCCTAACCCCCCCTCTTTCCTGCTCAGGTGTGCCAGGAACTCGCTCCAGAGGATGAAATGCTTTTCGTCATCTGCGCATCCTTTCGATATGAAGTTGTGACACAGCTTCGAAATCTTCTTCCATATCTGCTTCGGCGGCTGGTAGATTTCTGCCTGGAACAAGATCACTGGCATCACGTATGCGTTCAGGACCGTCACTCTTGCCGATATGGTCAGGTGTAGTTTTTCCCAGTTGCGCAGTATCGTATTTACCCGCACCAATGCTTTGTCCCACGTCGGCTCCGCTTTTCCGTCTGCCGTAATTTATATGCCTAACAATCTTTCCGGTTTGTCCCTCTCCGCCCAGCAGAAACTTGTGTCCGTACGCGGAGGGAGCAGCCTGTTCTTCCCCAGCGGCATCACCGTTGACTTCCCTTGGTTAACTTGCAACCCTGACCTGACACTGAAGTCATGTAACAGCTCCTGCGCTTTCCCAAGCTGCTCCTTGCCTTTAAGCAGCAAAGTCGTATCATCCGCGTACCCCAGGTACACCAGTTCTCCTTTTCCTCTTTTCCGCAAACCCAGTTTCCTTCTCTTAGCCTCCTGACAAAGCGGTTCTGCTGCGCAGATGAAGAGATATGGTGCCAGCGGGCAACCCTGCCGCACTCCTGACTCCACCGCTATCTTTTCGCCCAGCCATCCGTTGACCAGGAGTTGCGTCGTTGCCTGCTCATGCAGTCCTTTGGCCCATTTGACAAAGACCTCCAGGAAGCCCATCCGCTTGAGCGTGCGGAAGAGGAATTTGCGTGACACCGAGTCGTAAGGAATTTGCATGTACCCACTCATCACCCCCACACACCCACAATGCACCACAGAAACTCATCGTCTCACCCACTCACCCACATCCACACTCCCACCCCCCCAGTCCCCACACACACCTACATTCCTACACTCTACCCACATTCACCCCACACCCACAACCACACCCACAACCACACTCCCACCCATACCCACACCCTTCCCCCTCCCCCGCCCCCCCTCCTTTTTTTCAACACACACCCACACCCACTCCCACACCCACACCCACACCCACACCCACACCCCTCCCTCCCCACCTCTTCCTCCCCTTCTTCTACCCACACCTACAACCAGCTCACCCTACACCAGGCGGCTGACAGCCGCCCACCACTTGTCTTCCAACAGCTGTCCCCTCGTCAGTGCTGACGATATCTCCTCACTGCACTGCCCGGACAGCACCGCATGCAGCACCTGGGCGGCATCAGTTGTCTCTTCTAGCACGCCTCTCTGCAGTGACAACATAGAAAAGGGGGAGAGACGAGAGACGAGAGACGAGGGACGAGAGAGAAGAGACAAAAACATCAGGAGAAGGAAATGGAGAGAGCAATTGTGTGATGTGTTGAGTATTTTCTGACTGATATAACACATCTCTGAGAGATCCGGGAGAATTTAAGAGCCACGTGTGATAGGACCACAATAAGCATGGCAACGGGGGTACATGGAGGAGAATGAGACATGAAGGAGCAACATGGCAAAAGGGGTAAGGGCAATTTGTTGTGCTTGCGAGGTGGATGGATTGTCACTTGTGGCGTGCCGGCAGTACTCTTGAGAATTCTCAAAAGTAACACCAATATTGCCGGCTGTACCTGGAAGGTTGGCAGTTGTGCGACGGCCACAAGTACATCACTCTCTCCCTCCTCCCCCTCGCTGTCTTTGTGACTTGCAAGGTGGATGGCTTGCCACTTGTGGCGTGCCAGCCTTACCTGTGAAGTTGGAAGTTGCGGTTTGCGAGGTAGATGGGTTGCCACCAGCCTTACCTGGACGGCTGGCAGTTGTGCGACAGCCACAAGTGCGTCACTCTCTCCCTCCTCCCTCTTGCTGTCACTACACATGGCCTGCATGCACACGCAACCCACAGGGGGGTCAGGTTGATTACAGAAACAAGCTTTGAGGCGACTCGAGGGTCAAGTGCGTCACTCTCTCCTTCCTTCCCCTCGCTGCCGTTGCACATGGCCTGCATGCAATGCAACCCAAGGGAGGGCAGATTCACTATAGAGATGAGCTTTTAGGCTCCTCAGGAATCAGCGCGTCCCTCTCTGCACCTTTCCCCCAGCATGGGAATGCAGGCAAGGGCTCACATGTTGACATCACATTTGAGAGTGTCATACATGTGCAAAAGCGATGTCAGCATGCGGGCAGGGGCTCACATCGCACGGAATCACTTTTGGAATTCTCAAAAGAGATTTTGAGAATTCTCAAAGAGAGGCATGCATGCACCTGCAACTTGCTAGCAAGGACCTCCATAGAACATGAGAGGCACGCAACTGCAACCCACATCACCTCTACATCACGCACCTGCAGATACATGCAGATCCCTTTGTGAGTGCGAGAGCCAGCGCCCACTGGGCGGCAGTGGCCCATCGCCACTTGGCCAGTGAGAGGCATGCATGCCCCTAGCATTTTCCTGCAACCTGCAAGCATGCACCTCTATAGCACATCACACACCTGCAGCTCCCTCTGGGAAGACATGCGTGAGCGTGAGAGCCAGCGCCCACTGTGCTGCTGTGGCCCACCGCCACTTGGCCGCCTCGCGCGCCATCTGCTTCTCTTGCGCCGCCGCCCGGCCGGCAAGCTCGTCTGCTACTTGGCCGCGCCATAGAGCATGTGGTAGGCACACGCACACAACAACATGCAAGCCAGCACCTCTGTGGCATGTACGTACCTGCAGATCCCTCTGTGAGGACGTGAGCGTGAGAGCCAGCGCCCACTGATCGGCAGTGGCCCACCGCCACTTGGCCGCCTCGCGCGCCATCTGCTTCTCCTGCGCCGCCGCCCGGCCGGCAAGCTCGTCTGCTAGCGCCACCTCCCCCAGGCCACACTGCGCATGTACTTGGCGGTCTGAGGCCCCGTGCTGCGCACCATGGCTGCAAACACGCTCCCTTCATTTAATGCCAGGTTGGTTGGGGTGCCGTACTCCAGGGCCTGTGGAATGGAAAAAACAGCAGAGGGAGGGAGGAGAGGAACGAGAGCAGGTACTTGGCAGTCTGCAGCCCAGTGCTCCGCACCATGGCTGCAAACACACTGCCTTCGCTTAGGACTAGGTGGGCTGGTGTGTCGTACTCCAGGGCCAGATTGGGATGAAGAGGAGGAGACGAGTGTGAGTACTTGGCGATCTGAGGCCTCGTGCTGCGCGCCATGGCTGCAAACACACTGGACTCGTTTAAGAACCGTTTGGGTGGAATGTCGTAATCCAGGGCCTTGGGGAGGGGAGGGAGAGGGTGATAAAGGGAGGGAGAGGGAGGGAGAGGGAGGGAGAGGGAGGGAGAGGGAGGGAGAGGGAGGGAGAGGGAGGGAGAGGGAGGGAGAGGGAGGGAGAAAAGAAAGAAAAAAAGGACGTGATTGTTGCGATCTATTAGGACCAGTCTTGGCTAATACATTTGAGGGAGAAGAGGCAAAGAGGAGAAGGACGGGTGTGGGAAGGGGTGGTCGAAAGAGGCACTTAACGGTCTGAATCTGAAGAGCCAGCTCTCCATGAAGGTCTTCAGCCAGTGCGCACCTTGAACTCCTCTTACCCTTAGCCTGATCCCGATGACGCACACCCCACCCACCCACCCACTTGCTCACCATGCCAGCATCCATGATCGGGATCCTCCCAGCCGGTGAGAGATCGTCAGCATGGTCCGCCCTCTGAACTCCTCACAATCACACAGTTATGTAAATTGCCCTCTACCTGATTTCCATGACAAAAAAAACCACTCTCCCGCTCACCATGCCAGCATCCATGACCAGAATCCTGTCGCTATCCATGATGGTGTTCAGTCGGTGAGCGATGGTCAGCATCGTCCCCCCCTTGAATATGGTGCTTACTGCGCACCCCACCCACTCACCATGCCAGCATCCATGACCAGAACCCTGTCGCTATCTGTGATGGTGTTGAGCCGGTGGGCGATGGTCAGCATGGTTCGCCCCTTGAACTCCTCGCGCACCGTCCGTTGGATCAGCGCATCCGTGCCCACATCAACGGCTGCAGTCGCTTCATCAAGCACCAAAACGCGGGACTCCATGAGCAGCGCCCGCGCCAGGCTGATCAGCTACCTCTGCCCCACGCTGAAGTTCTCCCCTCCCTCTGCCACCTGAAGTAGGGTGAAGTGAAATAGGATAGCGACTAGCTCTCTCCCTTCCCTCCTCCTTCCCTCCTTCTCCCCGTTCCCCTCCGCCTCTTCTCTTTCCCCCCCCTGCCCTTCAAACCAACTGTTGAGATCGGCTCGGATCTCGACCACACAATCGCAACCGCCCATTTGAACTCATCCACAGAAGCACCCGCAATACTCGCATCCGAGCAGAGAGAAAACGCCTCCTCAACATACCTAACCGCCTCCTCTACCCTCTCTATAACCTCCCCAGTATCCAACTCCCCAAGCGTCCCATCATCCCTGAAAAGCGGCAGCGATACATAACCCGGCAGGAGATTAATTCACGGGGAATAAAAAGACTCTTTACCCTTCCTCCACTCTCTTAACAGACACGCTGCTATAGTCACATCGTCCCCAGAGTGTTTGTGGGGGAAAAGTAGGGTGAGGAAGGGAAGGGATATTGAATAATTCTAGAGGAGCAGGGGAGTAAAAAAAACAAAATAATAATAATAATAATAATAATAATGAAAAAAATATAGCTTGTTGCTAAGAGCATTGATATAGTCTGACCTTTATCTTCGATCGTACACCCCCTTCCACCGATTGATCCCCGTGCTTCTCCATCCACGTCAACAACGCGTCCACCAATCGCGCCTCCCTCTCTGGCAGCGGCACCATGTCAGAATAGCAGGCATAACGAGGAGCCATAGCTAGGGTTTAGCTAGCTAGGCAAGAGAAAATAAGCAAAGGAGGGTGTTCACTAGCAAGCAGGTGGATACATATAGGAAACCCTAAGGGGTCGTACTCACTACAGAGTACCCCAATACAGGCTAGACAAACTACACATTCTGACACACCCCCATAGTCAAAGTGGGGTATAATCAGCAGAGCAAGCAGTCATAGAGCAGGTTCACAAGTGCAAGCAAAGCTAGAGGCATTCACAACGGGCACGTGAGGAGGAGGAGGCTGGACTGTGAGAGGAGAGGAGATAGGAGGCGACGGCTGAAGCTGCAGACACACGGGCAACAGGAGCGGCGCGCACAGTGGCTACCGGCGGCAGAGCCCCGGACTACAGGAGTAACTGGCTCTGCGGCTAACTCTGAGCGGCAGGAGCAACGGACCCACGGGCGACAGGCGCAGCAGGCTCTCTGGGCTACCAGCGGCAGAGCCCCGGACTACAGGTGCTGCGGACGACAAGACGGCAGCCTCCGCTCAACCTCCCCCAACTGTCCCACCCCCCTTTTCACACACCCCTTGCTGCACCCCTAGCTCCACTCCCACGTCAACCCCCTAGCACCACTCCCTCGGCTCCCACACACCCACCCCCCTCAGCGGCAGCTGCAGCAGTGGGAGACAGAGGAGGAGGAGGAGCAGGGGACTGTGTAACACACCCGTCACCCCCATGCTTGCCACCCCCACACCCGCCACCCCCAAACCCTAACACGGGCAACACGGGGCAGGAGCGCGGGCAGCAGCGCGGGGGACGGCGCGCGGCCCCCAGGGCGCCGCGACGGGGCAGCAGGGGCCGCGCGCGGCTCCCTAGGGCGCCTCGACGGGGCAGCGGGGGGTCGCGCGCGGCTCCTCAGGGCGACGCGACGAGGCAGCGGGGGCCGCGCGCGGCTCCCCAGGGCGTCGGGACGGGATAGCGGGGGCCACGCGCGGCTCCCAAGGGCACCGCGACGGGGCAGCGGGGGGACGCGAGCGGCTCCCCAGGGCGTCGCGACGGGGCAGCGAGGGCCGCGCGCGGGTTGCGGGGCGACGCGACGAGCTCCCGTGGAGCGATGCGACCGTCGACGGGGGGGACGCGCGGGTCCCCGGGGTGACGCGTGAAGCAGGAAGCCGCCAAGCGCCTCGGGGCGCACGGCGGGCAGAAAACCGCCATGCGCCCCGAGCGCGTGGCGGGAAGAAAAAAGCGTCGCGCGCCACGGGGCGCGCGACAGACAGGAAAGCAGCAGAAGCACGTGGGGCCCACAGGCCAAGAGCGTAACAACTTTGATACCATGTCAGAATAGCAGGCATAACGAGGAGCCATAGCTACGGTTTAGCTAGCTAGGCAAGAGAAAATAAGCAAAGGAGGGTGTTCACTAGCAAGCAGGTGGATACATATAGGAAACCCTAAGGGGTCGTACTCACTACAGAGTACCCCACTGCAGGCTAGACAAACTACACATTCTGACACACCATCGCGGAACCTTCCCTCTCGTACGCGAATATGCTGCTCAGGTCGAAATCCGTTTCTATATCCGGCATCGAATTCCAATCTGATCCTGAACCGAGTCAGATTCGATATCATAATCATCCTCTGTACTAAACTCCCTGTCGCCGTCTTCAAAAACTTGCTCATCCCCATGGTCTTCCTCATTTTCACGATATTCCTCAGTCGCATCCACATCCTCATTAGCAGAATCGCCTTCTGTGTAATCTGTGTCAGTCAGCACCAACCACGCCATCGTCTACGTCAAACTCGCCATCATCAGCGTCATCCCAACCCTCCAATTCACTGTCCTCGTCAAAAAGAGACTCGCTATCGTGCTCTTCAAACTCCCCCTCCTCCTCGGGTACATGCTCCATTGCATCCTCGAATAACCCATCTTCTATGTCACCATCCACATTACCATCATTATCATCACTCCCATCAGTACCATCATCAGCATCCCCCTCATGGTTACCAAACACCTGATCACCATCATCATCCCCACCACCATCATCATCAAGAGCATCTTCTAATCTGCTTCCTAAATCACCTACGTGCTCGAATCCACGTTCCCCGAGACGCGTTTGAGAAACATCTAGGTCCCTGCTCGAGCTGCTCTCGCTGCTGGCTCTGCTGTCCCTGCTGTCTCTACTGCCGCTCCTGCTTTCGATTTTATCACTTTCGCCTAGCGCGGTCGGGGCTGTGACGATCAAGACGATGGCGAGCGTGAGGAGGAGAGCTCGGATCGACTGACGACTGCCACGTGGCATGGAGGTCGCGGTCGAACGTTCGTGGAACGACTCAGTCGCGCCGCGCGAGGGGCGAACACAACCCATCGAGGTGCGGCCGCGCGGCGAGCTCACCCGAAGGTCCCGCAGCCAGTTCACCTCTTGAGATGTCTGAAAACTCGGTAAAGAGTCTCAAAGGTCGTCTGGAAACTTGTCAGGGACGCATCAAAGCTCACCCAACGCCTGCGCGGCGAGCTCACGCCGCCATTGCCGCCAAGTGTGGGACGTGGCGTCGCTGTTTTTGCACACCAAGCGGAGCAGTCGTATGCCGCGCCTCGTGGGTACAGATACTAAAGGTTTAGGATCTGCTGAGAATCAGAAAGTGCTGTCTGTATGCACGAGTGAACGCCTTTCAATGCATATTTGCCGCCGCTGCGTTTTTCACGGAGCAAAAGCCACCACTACGCCTATGTGGATACCTCTGACTACCACCTACACACTGCCATGATGATCAGGTCAAAAGCGCGTGATCGATAGCAAAAAAACGTTATGGAAAGGCAATCAAGAACACTGGCGAGCTGTGATTGGTCAAAGTTCTCCGCCAGATCACCAAAAAATTTGGACCATTTCTCGATTTGTGCGTGTCATCCTTGCGCAGGGGCCATGCTAATCTTCTCTGTATCGTTCCAATTTTAACGGATGTCCCGAAGGACGAATATCGATGTCAACCGGAGGGATCTAAAAAAGCTCAGGTTTGCAGAAAAGTGCGTCGTTGGATGATTGAGACGGAAACTCAATTTTCGATGATTCGCGACAAATGCCGAAATATTTCGTCTTGCCTGTCACGATTCAAACGCAGCACCAGCGCGCTTCAGGCAGATAACAGGCAGACCCTCGTCTGGTTTTGCCGATCTGACCTTCTCCTTTCGTTATGTCGCTTACGGAAAGCATGAGCTACGTGTGCATTGGGCCAATCGCGCCGCTGTTTCGATAGCCTCTAGGCTGAACGCCTCAAACCTATGAAGCGAACCCTAACCAATAACAGCTAGTTCTTTCCTAACTGCTGTTTTCTCGCTTGTCGCGCTCCGCCATGGCTTTATTAATTCCCGAACCAACTCGTGCCGTCTTTTCTCGCGTCGCGGTGGCATTCTCGTCCGGCGCGATCGGCGGGCTGTGCATCGGGCTAGCCGTGCCGCTGCTTGCTGCGGCGGGACTCATGGATGTTCTAGGTATCGCCATTCACCCGCAGTTAACGCCGCCGTTCGTGTACCAGAAAGTCGTGTGGGGCGGCATCTGGTGCGTCGAGTGATTCCTCCCGTCGTCCGATCCTCCTAGTTTTGAGTCACCTGAAAAGTCACGCACAACTATTGCCGCCATTCGTGTACCAGAAAGTCGTGTGGGGCGGCATCTGGTGCGTCGAGTCAATCCCCCCCCTCATCATGTCCCCCTCTCCGCCTCTACTCTGCTCCTTCTCTCCTCCTCTCCGCCTCTACTCTGCTCCTTCTCTCCTCCTCTCCGCCTCTACTCTGCTCCTTCTCTCCTCCTCTCCGCCTCTACTCTGCTCCTTCTCTCCTCCTCTCCGCCTCTACTCTGCTCCTTCTCTCCTCCTCTCCGCCTCTACTCTGCTCCTTCTCTCCTCCTCTCCGCCTCTACTCTGCTCCTTCTCTCCTCCTCTCCGCCTCTACTCTGCTCCTTCTCTCCTCCTCTCCTCACGAGCTAGCAAAATGCACTCTTTACCTCCCCTCGCCTTTCCTCCCACACCCTTCCCCTCCAATCTTTCTCGCTTTCTCTTTTTTCCATCCGTTCGAATCGAACCACATCATCCCAAATATGTTCGGCTTAGCTACTATGTATATACCCCTCCAGAAGCTCCGCTTTGCCTCCGCCGCCGCTGGGCTGTCCCCGCCCCGTGCTCTGGAGGGGGCTCTCTCTCTTCTCTCCCGCTTTCTCGTGTAGTAAGTCAATTTTTGAGTCGGCTCAAAAATCGACTTACTACACGCTGGGCTGTCCCCGCCCCGTGCTCCCTCTCTCTTCTCTCCCCTTTCTCCCTCGCTGCTCCTCTCCCTTGCCTTAACCGTTTCTCTGGTCCTTTTTGTATATAAGCCCTTTTTCTCTCCCTTCTCTCACACGACACAGTGAGCCCTATCGCGCCTTCCTTCTCCAATGCTCGTTCTGTCGTTACCCCTATCAACCGTTGCTTCTTCCAGAGACGCGCGAAACATACACACGCAGAGATTTCCATTCTCTTTCCCCATTTTTTTATGGCGCTCCTGCCCTGGGCCCGCTCACTCGTTGCTTCAGGGGTTTCATCCTGCTCATTCCCTTCAATACAAGCACACTCGCCAAAGGAGCACTCTTTGGTACGCCTTCCGTTGCATGCCCTTCTCGCATTCCTTTGTCTCTCTCGAGCATGTGAGAATCTGAAAGTTGTCCGCATTAACACCTCTGCCTCCTCCAAGCACGTGCCCTCACGCATTCATGCTCCTGTTTCTTCCAAAGTTTTTGTCCATCCGCCCTCCCCCCATTTTTCTTATTCCTCCTTGTGTCTCCTCATTCCTATTCCTCCTGTCCCCTCATTCTTTTCTTATCCTCCTCGTACCTCCCACCTTCACTGTCCCTCTGCCTCGTGTCTGCTGCAACTGCAGGGGCGTTGGGTCCAGGCTTGGTGCAGCTCCTAGTTGTGTTCCCACTCAAAGAAACGGTAAGTGTTAGATTATGGGCGTTGAGATGCCTCAAAAGCGCTTGCAAATGCAAAAGGCAGCTGCAAGGGCGTTGGGCTTGGCCCCAGGCCTGGTGCAGCTCCTAGTTGTGTTCCCACTCAAAGAAACGGTAACAAATAGAACATGGCTTTTCCAACGTGCCTCAAAATCTCTGACGTGTGTTTTTTGATGGGGGAAAAAAAAGAAAAAACAAAAGTCAAACGGAAAAATGCAAACGAATATTTAATGCCAACACAGTGGCTTATGTGCAAGTGGTACGCTATTCTAGTGTGGGTTGCCCTGTTATACGTGCGTGCATGCTTTTGCAAAGAAGGAACGATCAGCTTGGTTCACTCTGAGTCAACTCAACTCGAAGATTCCTCTACACCCCATTTTCCATTCCCCACCCATGCAAACAGCCTGGTTCTCTCGCGGGTTCAACTCTCGGCCCACTAACGTCTTTCCTCGTGCTTCGTCTCAATGCCTTTGTCTGGAGTGGGCCCTCCGCCCTTGCCTATGTTTCGTGTCTCCATTCCCCACCCGTTCAAGCAGACTGGTTCCCTCGCGGGTCTCTCGCTCGGCCCCCTCACACCTCTCCCTGTTCTAATTCCAGATGCCTTTGTCTGGGGCGTTCCCTCCGCACTTGCCTATATTCTATATTCCGCCTTTCCCTTCCCACCCTAGCGCAGCCTGGCTCCCTCGCAGGTCTGTCTCTCGGCCCGCTCACGCCTCTCCTCGTTCTCCTCCTCAATGCGTTCGTCTTGGGCGTGCCCTCTGCCCTCGCTTACGCCCTTCTTCAACCCCCCTCCCCACAATTCTTCGTCGGGTGATCTCTCCCCTTCCCTTGATACTACCATTGAGGCGCTTTTCAGGTCACTTGCGCTTTTCGGGTGATCTCTCCCCTTCTGAAAGTCCTCAAAGCTTCCGCCCTTGCCTACTCCCTGCTTCGACCCCCCTCCCCACAGTCCTTTGTCGGGTGATCTCTCCCGCCCTTGGAAGTGCCTCAAAGGTCCGCCCCATCCTGCTCCCCACACTCATGGGGGCAAATTCTGCGTCAGTTAAAAAGCCATGGCGGTACTTTAAAGGTCCGCCCCCCTCATGCCCTGCTCCCCAGTCCTTTGTCACCTAGCCACTTTTCCCCCGTGTTCATTCCTCACTCCATCTTTCCCTGCTGCTCTCCATGTGTCCCCCTACCTCTCCCCATGTGCCTCCTGCCTCTCCCCATGTGCCCACGTGCCTCTCTCCTTTTCCCCCACTCCGCATGTGTCTCTTTGCCTACGTCCTTCCTATCCTGCGACTCTCCCCACGTGTCACCCAGCCTCGTATGTCTTAATTTCCTTCCGCTCCCTGTGTTCCCTTCTGTCCCTCCTTCCCCACGTTTCGCCCTGCCCTTCCATTATGGCATCACTAGCATAAGGACTCTAGGATAGAGTGACCCAGACCTTGAGCTGCAGGGGGAGAAATTTTCATGAGACTACCGTCTAAGCATCTGCGCTGATGGAAGCTTGTACAACAACATAGTAAACACCCCTGTGCTCAAAAGCACTAAATCATATCCTTACCGTACATTCATTATCTCCTCTTATAACTAGGTTTACATAGCAAAGAAGAAATACTTTTTCAAAATTTCTCGGAAACGTTCTCAACCGAATTACCGAACAGAATTGATCAAGTCGCAAGACACAACCAATAATTTCGCATAGTCAAAATTCTCAACTCCTCGGTATCGTTCGAAACCGATCTTCCTGAACAAAAATGAATTCCCAATCCCAGCTCCCAGCTCCCAGCTCCCGAGCTCGCCGCCATGGATTTCCTCAGGGTTTTTAATCCAGCATTCCGTGAAGCACACGTGTCAGTTGACTTTTTGGACCGCAGCATTGTACTCGCGTTATCGCGACGAATCTATTGGTACAACCAGTGTGTCCATCAGTCGGACATCGTACAAATCCATTCTCGGGATCAGCTGTTCTGGTTTATCAAGTTAACAAGTTTCAAGGCTTCATTTGCTAACATCCTGTTGATAACACAGCGAGCTACACATGGATTCACCTCGTAAAGCTCTGATTGGTTTCCGATATTACATGAAGCTTTCAAGGCTATCAAACATCATCCATCGGTTTCATCAGCAACAACCCAGCATTTACTCCAGGAACACGGGGCCTCGGAAGGCCCTTCGGAGTCTCTACTTAACGTGCTCAGAAGTCCAGCTTATCAGGCATTTCTGGCCTTTGTGCTTCATCAGCTTTATTTGCTGGACTCAACTCATCATTGCACCATGCCGCGTAACCCGCCGAAGGAGCGTGCGCCACTGGTGCCGAAGAATGCCGCTGCTAAACCTGCTGACAAGGGGAAAGAGGTGGTGGAGACAACCAGGGTGATCCTATCCCAAGTGGATCCGGCTTAACACTGGAAGAGAAGCTAGCTGCGCTCACCTCTGCGACAAAAGAAGTGGATGATGAGTTTACTGATGATGACTCTGACGATGAGCTGGACTTTGACATTACAAGGGACTCTATTGCCAACAAGTGTTACACAGCCATTCTGTTGCTGCCGTTCATCCTGCAGCAAGAAATCGCCTCCGTCATCGTGACCGCGCGGATGTTGTTGAAGCGTGTTTGGTCCTCGCTTTTATCTGACGGTGCTAACACCCAAGTTAACTTTCAGGAGCTTCCACCTGGTTACGTTGCTAAGACGAAGTACAGCCGCCTCCAAGTGTCTTTCCTGAAAGAAGAAGATGCAACAAATGTCCGTCAGGCGACATTGGATTATCAGCAAGCCAAAGGCACTTCTTTCAGACTTCACTGGCTGCACACTGAGAATCAGGCTTTCACGCGGACAAAGGCAACCAATCCGCGCTGCATCGAAGTGGTTTTCAGAGGCATACCTGCCAATATTTCGCCGGAGGGTCTGGAGGAGTTGCTGGTCAAGTTTAAGCTGAAGATCCGACAGGTCCCGCCATTCCTGGAAGGTCACTGCTTTCACCGTGTGCTGCATCCGGTCTCAGGAGCAGACTCAGATGTGATAAAGGGACTGGTGGTGCCTCACCTGGAGGATAAGAAGAGGCGCTGGATCCATCAAGTCAAGCATCCCCTTGAGCATGGCAAGACACTGCTGGTCCACTACCATGTGCTCTTCTGTCGGCTCTGTGGGGGTGCGCATTATGACAAGCATCATGATGTCTTCACCACAGAGCGACAGAATAACATAGGGAAGTGGAGTCTCAGTATCGATCGTGTGCATAGGATCAATGGTAACATTGAGCTGATTTCCTCGACTGCTGATCACTTACCTTCTCTCTCGGATACTAACCCCTTGGTCGCGTGTCGCAGCTGCATCCCTCGCCGCGTCTCGTCTGGTGAAGCCGATCCTGCTAGACCCCGCCATTGTTCTGATATCCACCGGGAGCTTCAGGGAGGAATGGATTTGCACCCAGACAGGCTGCGGGAAGGCCCACGGGAGGCTGTTTGTTGCCGCTGCAGAGCACATTACCACTGCTCGTCATCTGCACGGCCAAGGAGAGTTGGGTGCTGTCACCCGTGTGACAATGGAGAGGGAGAATCTGCACGCGGACTGGAAGGATTTCGGGATCTGAAGGATCCGGGCTTACTCTTGGCTGGATCATTGGTTGTTGCTGTAACTTGTTTCACCTGCCTGTGGATGCGGAGAGGCGATCAAGGAGTGGTTAAATGAATACACGCAACATCCTCTCGTTCGCGGGCCTGAATGTAAACGGCCTGGGTGATAACAACAAACGGAAACGCACAACAGACTGGACACACAGCACTAAAGCAGCAGACGTGATGATCCTCTCAGACACTAGAATAGCAGAAAACAACCCGTACTGGGCCACCCTTAACCTTACCGCCTTTGCCGCCTCAACACCTGTCACCTGTGCTGGAGGAGTTGCTGTCCTCAGCCGTAGGGCCGACCTCGCTTTTCACAACCCGCTAGCTCACCCGTCTGGTAGACTAGTTAAGACTGAAGTCCACTGCGCTGGCCTGCATCTCACCCTGATAGCGGCGTACTTCCCCTCGGACAAGATAGTTAGACGAGCGTTTATCAGGACAGTGCTCGGTCCGACTGTTGACCTTGTTCCGCCGGGATCTCACCTACTGATAATCGGAGACCTTAACATCATTGAAAACCCCATACTTGATAAGACATCGAGGCAGGGCTCGTCAAGGGAGAATGATCATCTCTATCAGCGTTGCAGACCTTTTGACATTGCTGACGCTTTCCGCGCTCTTTACCCGTTTAAACGTGAATTTACCTTCTATGCACAGGCGCACCAGGAATGCACGCGGATCGATCGTGCGCTGGTATCTCGCTCCTTGCTCCCGCGCCTGGTGTCAGCCTCGCACGTCATGCCTGATGGGCCAGTATCTGACCACGGCTTCGCCATCCGCATCGCCTTCAAAGTCAAATCGCAGCTGCAGACGGGCCCGGGGATGTGGCGCCTGCATGCTTCCATGATGCACAGACCAGGGGTTCGGAAATTAACGGACGAGGTGGAACGCAAAGTTGCGCGGGAAGGAGGAGGTTTCGAGGTTCTTATCTCCCGTCTGAGCGCGGGCCTCCGCGCGTATGCTAAAGAAGAGAGCAAGCGGATCAGGGCGACGATCAATCACCTTGCAACATCCGTCGCAGATTTAAAACAAGCATCCATGTGTAACCCCAAGGACCAGCTGCTAAGGGAGAGGCTAAGGAAGCAGGAACGGCAGCTTAAGGAGTACCATGCTTGCCGAAGGGAAAGGATTCATACCATGGCGGGGGTGGCGAAAGAGCTCGTCGGAGAGATTCCCTCACTGCATCTGTCGGCAAGGATTAAGGTGCGGAAGGCCAACACGCAGATTGCGGAACTAGCAGTTCCGGGAGGGATGGTAGCTGATCCAAAGCAAATCTTGGAGGCAGTGTCAGACTATTACCGAGGTCTCTTCGGAGCGGACAAAAGGACAGCGGTTGCGGACTGGGTTCCAGCGGCAGGGAAAAGGCTGTGGTTCTCGGACGTGGAGGGCCTGCAGGAGGATTGGACAGAGGCAGAGGTGAAAAAAGCCCTCCGGGAGATGGCCTGCAACAAAACACCGGGGAAAGACGGGTTGCCGAAGGAGTTTTTTGAACAACACTGGGATGTGCTGGGAAAACATCTCATGGCGCTGGTGGGGAGCTTCACTGCCTCTGCGGAGCTCCCGATCAGCGTCAAGGACGCTGTCACGATTCTCCTGCACAAAAAGGGGGCGAAGGATCAGCTTGAAAATTACAGGCCGATCACCCTTTTGAATTTCAGCTACAAGGTGCTGGCGCGGGTTTTGGCAAGCAGGATAAAGAAGATACTTCATAAAGTAATCTCAAAGGAGCAGTTCGGTTTTATACCAGGGAGACGAGTATCGGATGCGGTCGGGCTGGTGGCGGATGTGATCGACGCGGCGAAGAATGGCAATGAGGGACTGGTTCATGCTGCTTGTTGACTTTAAGAAGGCGTTTGACTCCGTGTCCAGGGACTTCATCTTCGAAACTCTGAAAAAGATGGGATTCCCTGACCGCTTCATTGGCTGGGTGAGGGGCCTGCATGAGAACACCCGTACAAGTCTGCTCGTTGGTAGACGTGGTGTCCGGAGTCAGGCAAGGGTGCCCTCTTGCACCTTACCTATTTCTATGCGCGGTGGAGCCATTGGCACAAAAGGTGGAGAAGAAGAAGATTGGGATCACCCTCACCAGCTGCGTAGGGCAACGGCTTGCCTACATTGGCTATGCGGATGATACCACACTCCTGCTGCAGGGGAAGCAACAGATCAGCAAAGCGGAGGGGATATTAGAGGAGTTTGAGAGCATCTCGGGGCTGGCAACAAACAAAGCAAAGTCAGTCGTGCTCCCGCTGGGTACTAACCTTGGTAAAACCACCTGGCGCTCGGATGGCTTCAGATGGGCAGGTGCTGACGAAGCAGAGAAGCTCCTCGGTGTCTGGGTTACGCCGAGCGGGAGCTGCCAGCCAACATGGGACAAGGCTCTGGAGAGGATTGTGGGGAAGATGACACTGTGGCAGCCGCAGTATCTCCCGATAAAAGCAAGAAGGGCGGTGATGGATGGATATATCCTTCCGATCGCATGGTCTCAGGCTCAGGTGTACCCACCACCTGCACGGACATGGGGGGTAATCACGAAGCTCTCCCACACTTTCATGTCGGCCAATGAAGTTACTTCGGAGAAGTGCTTTTTTCTATGGAGTAAAGAACTGCTCTACACGCCGGTGATGGAGGGGGGAGTGGGGGCGAAAGACCTAGAGGCCATGCTCACCTGTTTCACGGCTCGAAGGATTGGAACGGTCCTTACGGAGACCAGCCAACTCAAACGGAACCTGATGCGCCAGGCAGCAGACTTACCGCTGGGGTTGGATACCTTCCTGGCGCATGAGAAGCTCTTGAAAACATGGGAGGGGAAGAGTCAGCGCTGGAAACTCGCGTGTGAAAATTTCATGCGCTCCCCGCTGGCGGTGACCGGTATTGACCGGAACAGAGTGGAGGTTGCGCTGGAGAGGATTGTGTTCAACAGACATATCCTATCGGCAAAAAGAGGACTACGCCAATCGGGGGACAGATGGCGGCTAAGCAGCTGCGTGATGTCCGGCTGGGGGACCTGGTCAAAAAAGATGAGACAGGGAGGGGTGTGCTGAAGGACCTTCCCACCCTGGAAAGAGAGTTACGGGGAAAAGAAGCCGCGAAGCTAGCACTCAAGGCATTTGCAGCAGCACGAGAACCATGGAGAGAGGTGCTTCTCTCAGCCGAGTCACCTCTGGTGGGGTTTGCGGAGGTGTACGAGGCTGGCAGAGGAGGTTCAGAACAGCTGCGCGCAAAACTCCTGGTGAATGGGGAAGCTGCGCCGTTGAAAAGTCTCAGAGCCCGTTGGGGGCACGGTAGCAGCGGGCAATCCAGGCGGAGCAAGTGGGGCAGCAGATGGAGTGGGCGCATAGACTGGAAGCGGGCAGTCAAAACTCGGGAGTCACTGGTCACCCCCAGCAGACCAAGGGACGTTTTGCTAAGAATCCACAGTTTAAACCTGCAAGTCGGGGAGAGGCTTACTTTTCTCAGCAACAGGCCGGTGTGTCCGTACTTTGACAGGTTTGAAACCCTGGAGCACTGTTTTTTCGTGTGCCCGAAGATTCAAGCGGTGGTCACAGCGGTGAAGAAGGCTCTGCGCATGATTAACCCCACCAGGCGGGTGGAGTCGCTCGGGGATTGGCTGTTTGGGAAGGCAGGGTCCACGTCAGAGTTTCCAGAGGCAACCCTGACAGCTATTGCTCTGCACCAGCTTTGGGTAGAGCGGTGCGAAGGTGCCTTCCGTGGCTGCAAGTTCCGCACAAAGCGGGTATTGAGGAGGATCGAAACGGCCCTGCGCATGCATGTGAATGTTTACGTGCGGGCCTCGGCGAGGAAGTTGCAGCAGAAGGGGAAGAAGCAGCAATCCAGATGGCACGTGATGACAACTCAGGAGCAGAACCTTCTGAGTCGCATTCGGGTAGTGGATGGCAAGAGCTGGCGGTGGTCGAACAGCTTCGCAGCAATTTGGGGCAAGCCACACAGGCCCCGGGTCCACGTGTGAGGATCGGATTCTCTGAGGCAGGCCCTCCTGCTTCTCGCGCACAGTTACGACTGTTTATGTGTTGTACACTTCTGTATTTGGTGTATAGCTCATATAAGAAAAAAAAAAAAAAAATCCCAATCCCAAGGTCAACCTTCGATGTTCTCCTCTCCTCAAATTCGACTAGGCTGACTGTCTTCCCTCTCCCCCAACTGACCCCATTCCGTGGCTTTCACGGGACAGTGTTGGGCTGTGGGTGGTTTGAAACTTCGTGAGTTGACAACAGACCACCATTATTCTTGTGTCAGACGCCCGTTGTACAGTAGCTCGTATTTCCTGAGTCCACTCCGAGTAATAATCGTCCAGCCCAGGCGTCGGCCTGAGTAAGGGCGGCCGCGCGTCCGTGACGGAAGCGTTCTTTCTTTGCAGCGATTATTGTTACGTAACCGCCACGTTTCGAGTCGCGACGCCATGGGTGTTTCTACGATGAAGCCGCCACTCACGGCGAGTCCGCTTCACCCGTCCCTGTCATACTATATAGCATATCCTTGCCGCGTCACTTCTCACCAGACGCCATCACTCGAACCAGTCTGTTTTTCGAGATCTCTGAAAAACAGATCCTTGCCCCGTCGCTTTTCAGCAGACGCCATTACTCGAACCAGTCTCCGCATTTCAACTCAACCATCCCAGCAGCAGCCTCACCTCTCTCCCCGCCGATCTTCACCGACCAGCACCGATTTTCCGACGCCATTCTGATCTAGCCACTCGTGGTTCTCAGAGGCGAATCTCATCCATCCGTTCGGCGCGTCATAAGCCGTCGCCCACGGTCACTCCCTCTCCCTGATCATCAGCAGCCTTGCAAGTCGGATCAACTCGGCGGATCATGGCGATCATACTACCGTCGCCGCCGCGTTCCTCGCTCTTCCTCCTCCTGCTCGCGGCGCTGGTGCTGCTCTCGTCGGCGCACCTCCCCCTCCGCGCGCGCGCAGAGGAGTCGTGCTCCGCCTCCGCGCCGTGCCCCAACAACCTCTGCTGCAGCAAGTGGGGCTGGTGTGGCTCCACCGTCGACCACTGCGGCGCTGGCTGCCAGTCCCAGTGCTCCGGCTCCGCCTCCTCGCCCCCTCCGCCTCCCACCACATCCCCTTCCCCCTCTCCTCCTCCCCCATCCCCCTCCCCTTCTCCGCCTTCCGCTTCTCCGCCGGCCCCTTCCGCCTCACCTCCCCCCCCAACTGGCTCCGCTCCCCCCCCAATCGGCTCCGCTCCCCCCCCAACCGGCTCCGCTCCCCCCCCAACGAGCTCCGCTCCCCCCCCAACCGGCTCCGCTCCCCCCCCAACCGGTTCCGCTCCCCCCCCAACCAGCTCCGCTCCCCCCTTAACTGGCTCCCCTCCCCCATCTACTGGGCTGCAGCGCATGGCGTATTTCAGGAACGATGCGGGCATGGACCCATCCCTCATCCCTGCTGCCAACCTCACGCATGTCTTCTACTCCTGTGCTTTCGTCAGCCCCACCACACACGAGGTAGGCCACCACTCACAAGGCACAGGAGGTGTGAGTGCGTATGCCATGCTCTATTGGGTCATCTGCTCCAAATAACTCTTCGTTTTCACATTCGCGGTAGTGGATTTTTGGATGCTTCGCTTTTCCTACCATCTCCCCTCAACAGGTCGTCCCTTCCAACCCAGCAGTGGACGTCACCCAAGGTCTCTGCCTTCAATGCTGCCACCCCTTTTCACCCCTTTTCACTCCTGACCCCTTACCTTTTTCTCCCTACACCTCTCAACAGGTCGTCCCCTACATCCCAGCAGTGGACGTCAACGAGGGCCTCTATCTGCGCTTCAACTCTGCTCTAAAGACCGCCAACCCCGCCATTAAAACTCTCCTCTCCATCGGCGGCTATTCCGGATTCTCCACCGATTTCGAAAACACCTCCTCCCCGTCCTCCTGCTCTGTCTTCATCGAATCCGCGATTGCCCTCGCCCGCACGTACAACTTTGACGGTCTGGATATCGTCTGGGAGTACTTAACAGGCAACACCACCTTCTTTTCCGCCCTGCTCACGGATTTCCGGGCGGCGATCGAATCCGAAGCTGCCGCTTCCGGGAAATCGAAGCTTCTGCTTTCTGCGGCGCTTTCTGCATACGAGCCAAATATCACTCAGCCCTACGATGTCCCGACGCTTAACAAAACACTGGACTTTGTTAAGGTTCAGACTTACGATTTTATTATGTCTTGGAAGTCCGGTACGACCGGCATGCACACTGCTCTGGAGGATGTGAGCAACCCTCAGCTGAGCATCAAGGGCGCTATGTCTTCCTGGGTGTCCCAAGGCTTGGCCCGGAGCAAGGCCATGGTAGGCTTGGCGATGTACGGCTGGACCTGGAAGCTTGCCTCGACAAACAGCACTGGGGTTGGAGCTCCAGCCACTGAGCCTGGTCAGGTTAGCTCTCTTCTTTCATTTTTCTCTTTTCTCATTTTTCTCCTCTGCTTTATGCTTCTCTCCCTCTCTCACATTGTCACAGCCTTTTGTGATTCTTTTCTTTCCTTCCTTGCACACTTTCAGAGTGTCATTTATACATTTCTTATGGCGCCTTTGCAAGTAGCTTCAACCGACCGCTCATCACTTTCTCCCTTTACCTGCATATTCCCCCTCCACCCCACCAACAGGGGACTGGTTTCCTTTCTTACAAGGACATTAATCAGCTGGTAACCACTGGAGGTTACACATCTACGCTCGACGCCCCAACATCCTCTATGTATGCAGTGAAGGGTGACCTGTGGGTTGGTTACGACGACCCTTCCACCATCACCACCAAGGTCCAGTTTGCCAAGACGCAAGGTTATGGAGGGTGGTACTTTTTGAAACAGGGCGAGGATGCCAACAATGCTCTGCTCAATGCTGCAATAGCTGCCTCTTGATTTGAACCCAACAGTCAGACAGTATGAGACAAGTATGGACGAGCCTTAGCTTGTTATTTTGTTTCAAGTGTAGACGAGTTGTTTGGAGTTTGGAGGTGGATGTGTCACTGTTTTGCCTTAAGTGAGCAATTACCGTACATGCAGCCGCTTCCATATGCTCATGTTTCATTCCTGACAATATCGTGGGTGGTTATTCTGGGCATGGAGCCAGGATGCCTACAGTGCTCTGCTCAATGCTGCAGCCGCTGCATGAGATGAAACTTAGGTAAATAGTCTGGGAAAAGAATGTTCCACCACTACCGTAGTTTGTTTGTCTGATTTGTAGACAAGTTGATGAGGAGTTGTTGTATCAGATGAAGCTGGTTCCCAAGAGCCCGTGTTCCGATTGTCCAAATTCGTGCCAATCTCGGAAAAAGAGGTGATGTCTGCGCGACACGCACCGCCACTCGTGGTATCGCTAACTCGACTCACACACACCACTCTGCCCCCATGCACTGTGCAGCAACCCCTCCCTCCTCCCAGTAACACCTTCCTCGCTCCCGCCGTCTCCTCCCCAGTAGCTACCAGGCGCACCCATCTGCCACCACCGGGCTGTGTGGAGTGGAGCAGGCAGACAACGCCACACAGGGGGCCCACACAGGGGACCCACACAGGGGACCCACACAGGGGACCCACAAAGGGGGCCCACACAGGGGGCCCACACAGGGGACCCACAAAGGGGGCCCACACACACACACACACCCCGTAGCCCATGCAGCAGTGGCTCGGCTGGAATCAAACCACTCTGCCTCCGGGCACACACAGTGCACCAGTCACTCTCCCTCCCAGTCACACCACTCTGCCTCCGGGCACACACAGTGCACCAGTCACTCTCCCTCCCAGTCACACCACTCTGCCTCCGGGCACACACAGTGCACCAGTCACTCTCCCTCACAGAGTCACACCACTCTGCCGCCCGCCATCTCCTCCCCCGTTGCTGCTAGCTGCGCCCACCTGCCGCCCGCAGCCGCCCCTGCTGAGCTGGCGGAGTCCCGCAGACTGCCATCCGCCTCGAGCTTCGCCTGCACCTGCTTCGCCATGAGGGCCAAACCTGAGCAGCACAGGTCACAAGAGAAGAGGGAGACATTGTACAGTGTAGAGTGAATTGTGAGTTGCACTGCCGTTCGCCTCGAGCTTCGCCTGCACCTGCTTCGCCATGAGGGCTAGGCCTGGGGGAACAGGGCACACGATGGAAAGGGCAAAGAGGGACAGCTCACCTCTTGCTTCACCTGCACCTGCCTCGCCATCAGGGCCAGCCCTGGCATACAAGAGACATGGAAGCAGCACACCATGCAGTGGATTGGAGCACATGTTTGAGACGCTAAAATACATGGTAGAGTGTATCAGTGGCTTGGAGTGGAGATAGCTGCTGGCTGGCATAGTCACAGAGACTGCCGTCCGCCTCGAGCTTCGCCTGCACCTGCTTCGCCACACTCCCACATTCCTACACTCTACCCACAACCACAACCACAACCACACCCACACCCAAAGTGTGTCAACCAAATCAAGGAGCTGCTAGCCTGCTGCTGCTGGGGGTGGGCATCGCCACAGTCACAGACGCTTAAGGGTTTAGGGCACAGTCCTGGCCGCTCTTGCCATCGTCAGCACTTGCGTTGCTTAGATTGTGAGTATCAGCACCACTTGCTGGCTCCACCTTCTTGATTTGGTTGACACACTTTGGGTTGTATTTCTTATTCAAGTCCCTTTCCCCTTCCCTTCCGCTTCTTCTTTATTCTTCTCCTCTTCCCCTTCCTCGTCCCAATCCCCACCCTTCCCCTTCACCTTCCCGTCCCTGTCCCTGTCTCCATCCCGTTCCTGTTTCCCTTTCCCTCTCCTCGTCCCCAGATGAACAACACGATTTAGAAGGGGTACAAGATGAGCAGCACGCAGCTGCTGTACCAGTCGTCGATCCCTACAGCGCCTCAAATCCCTCAATTGGCCCCGACCCCTTCGCCCTCCCTTCGCCCGTCCCCCTCCCCTCCTGCAGATGACCAACACGATTCAGAAGGGGTACAAGGTGAGCAGCACGCAGCTGCTGTACCAGTCGTCGCCCTTCCAGGCGCTCATTCTCATCCTCTCGGGGCCCTTCGTGGACGCCTACCTCACGGGCCACAACGTATTCGCCTTCGACTACACCTTTAACGTCATTGTGAGTGCGAGCGAAACACAAGTGCTACAAGTTGTTAGGTTTGTGAGAGGGTGCTGGTGGGTGTTTGGACGTCAACCTCACCAGCCACAACTACTCCTTCAACGTCATCATGAGTGCAATACACGCGTGCTACGACCTGATTATGTGGTGTGAGTGTGCTGGTGAGTGCTTTTGGCGCTTCGTCAGCGAGTCTTTTTCAGTCACAAATTGGGCCTTTCGTCAACGCGTCTTCAGTCAGGATTTGAATGTGGCCCCCTCCTCATCCCCTTTATTCTCCTTCTCACCTGCCTTCTCCTTCCACGCTGCATTCCCCCTTTTCTTCCCACCCCTCCATCCCACATCATCCAGTCGTTCATCCTGCTGTCCTGCTTCATTGCAGTGGCAGTCAACTTCAGCTCTTTCCTTGTCATTGGCAAGACCTCGCCAGTCACATACCAGGTGAGTGGTCTCGAAGAAGCGTTCAGGTCCGCTGTCACAGTGACCCACTTGTAGAGTGGACCTCTCTTTTAGAGTGGCTTTGATTTTTTTTTTTTTCATTTTTTAATGCTGCCAAAATCCCCTCAATACACCCAACTCACCCTGCACCATGCGGCTGACAGCCGTCCACTACTCCTCCACTCAATGCATGATAGAAACTTATCCTCTCACCCACTCACCCACTCACACTCACCCACTCACCCACTCACCCACTCACACTCACCCACTCACACTCACCCACTCACCCACTCACACTCACCCACTCATCCACGCCCACTCCCAACCCCCCCACCCCCCTCCACACCCCCATGCATTCACTCACCCTGCACCACGCGGCTGACAGCCGTCCACCACTTGTCTTCCGACAGCTGTCGCCTCGTCAGCGCTGACGAGATCTCCTCGCTGCGCTGCCCCGACAGCACTGCCTGCAGCACCTGGGCGGCATCCCTTGTCTCTTCTAGCACAACTCTCTGGAGTGGCGAGATAAGAACGGGGGTGGGGGGAGAGACACACGAGATGAGAGACGAGGAGGTCAGGAAAAGGAAACGGAGAGAGAACTTGTTTGTTGGTATGTGCGATTGTGAAAACAACCGAGAGGTGGCTCCTGAGTGGTCTGTCAACTCTCCTCAGAGTGTGGAAACAGTTTTGAGACGTCTCCAAAACTAGGCCCTTGAGTGCTCTCCCATCTCTGAGGGTGAAAAAACACCACTCTGAGAGATGTGAAAAGCATTCAAGAAGCACATGCAAGAGGGAGAATGAGACACTGGGGAGCAGAGCAGCATAGAAAATGGGGCGCCGATCGTTGCTTGCAACGTGGGTGGCTTGTCACTTGTGGCGCGGCGGGGCATGCTGACTGTACCTGGAAGGTTGGCGGTCGTGCGACGGCCACAAGTGCGTCGCTCTCTCCCTCCTCCCCCTCACTGTCGTTGCACATGGCCTGCACACACAGGAGGGTGTTTAGGCAAAAAAAAAAAAAACAACAACAACAACAACACCTTTTTTTTGCGCCACAAGAATCAGTGCGTTCCTCTCTCCATCCTCAGAATGCATGTAGGGTTCACATCACATCGCACGGATGTCTCTTCACAGCAAGTACCCGTGAACCGTACACCGCAGACCTGCCTGGGAGCTCTTGGTTGAGTTGAGTGAGTGCATTTGAGCGCCTCTGAAGAGAGCGCAATCAAGACGTCTCTGAAGCAGCGCACCTAAAGCGCGAGGTTGAGTTGAGTGCACCTCGGAACAGATTCTGCGGCGCCTCGGAAGCAGCTGTTGCTGTTACTCCACCACCCCCACCACCTCCCCTCCATCCCCCCGCACCACCTTCCCCTCCACTGCCACACTGCTCGCGCCTAGGGAGCGCTCATCTGCAGTGAGGATGAGCGGGAGAGCCAGAGCCCACTGGGCGGCAGTGACCCACCGCTACTTGGCCGCAGTAGTGCATGTGGGAGGCACACGCGCCTGCAACCTGCAAGCAAGCCCCTCAGTAGCACATCACTCACCTGCAGGTCCCGCTGTGAGGACGTGCGCGTGAGAGCGAGGGCCCACTGGGCGGCAGTGGCCCTCCGCCACTCTGCAAGTGAGAGGCACGCGAGCACCTATATTGGTGTGACTTTTGAGAGTTCTCAAAAGTGAGAGGCACGCGAGCACCTGCAACCTTCAAGCCAGCAGCTCTGTAGCTACTACATAATGTGCGAGACTTCACACACACGTACCTGCAAATCTCGCTGGGAAGACGTGAGCGTGAGAGCCAGAGCCCACTGGGCGGCAGTGGCCCACCGCCACTTGGCCGCCTCGCGCGCCATCTGCTTCTCCTGCGCCGCCGCCCGGCCGGCAAGCTCGTCTGCTAGCGCCACCTCCCCCAGCGCCACACTGCGCAGATACTTGGCGGTCTGCGGCCCCGTACTACGCACCATCGCTGCGAAGACGCTCCCTTCATTCAACACCAGGTTGGCTGGCGTGTCGTACTCCAGGGCCTGGGTGGGATGGAAAAAAGGGCAGAGGGAGGGAGGAGAGGAACGAGAGCAGGTACTTGGCGGTGTGAGGCCCAGTGCTGCGCACCATGGCAACGGATATGCTGGCATGCAGAATCGAATCCAATCGAATCAACTCACCATGCCGGCATCCATGACCAGAATCCGGTCGCTATCCATGATGGTGTTGAGCCGGTGGGCGATGGTCAGCATGGTGCGCCCCTTGAACTCCCCGCGCACCGTCCGTTGGATCAGCGCATCCGTGCCCACATCAACGGCTGCCGTCGCTTCATCCAGCACCAGAATGCGCGACTCCTTCAGCAGCGCCCGTGCCAGGCTGATCAGCTGCCTCTGCCCCACGCTGAAGTTCTCCCCTCCCTCTGCCACCTGCACAGGAGAGAAGAGTGACATTGGTGTGGGGGAAGGTTAGCAACGCCCTAGCCAGGCTGATCAGCTGCCTCTGCCCCACACTGAAGTTCTCCCCCCCCTCTGCTACCTGCATGTGTGGCAGGAGAAAGCAGGGGATTATGGGGGTCAGGTCGGACTGGGGGAAGGGCAGCACAAGAATGCGAGACTCCTTGAGCACTCGCCCGTGCAAGGCTGATCAGCTGCCGCTGCCCCACGCTGAAGTTCTCCCCCCCCTCTGCCACCTGCAAGGGGAGTGGAGTGAAATGCGAGAATCCAGCTCTTGCCATTTTCAGCCCCTCCTTCATCAGTGCCCGTGCCAGGCTGATCAGCTTGCATCTGCCCCACACTGGATTTTTTTCCTCCCTCTGCCACATGAATGCGTGGCAGGAGAAAGGAGGGGGAGTATGGGGGGTTGGAAGGGGGGAAAGGGCAGCACCAGGATGCTCGAGATACCACCTCCCTCAAGTAAGACCTCAGTACCAGCACTCTCTATATACAACCGCCTCCCTTTCCCTTCTACTCACCTCTGTGTCCAGCCCCAGCGGCATGCGAGATACCACCTCCCTCAGGTGCGCCCTGCCCAGCGCCTCCCACACCTCGCTGTCACTGCGCTCGCTGAACGGATCCAGGTTGAACCGCAGCGTGCCTGGGGGGGGGAGAAGAGGGGGGGGGGGGGGGTGGGTGGGTAGGGGGTGGAGGGGTACGGTCAAGAGCCCTTTCAGTGCCTCCTGTGAGAAAACGAGAAGATGAACCATTGATAATATTAGGAAGAGAAGGGGTATACATAGTTGTGCTAGGAGGGAGGGTTTGGTTGGGAACCTAGCCAACATTATTGCCCCCCACCAATAAGTTGGGTTGAGGAATAATTGGGGGGACCAATAATGTTGACCAAAAATGGTTCAACATTATTGGGGGGGCCAATAATTCCCTACCCAACCTTGGGGGCCAAATAATTGGGCCAAGTGTTGAGTTCCAACCCCCAACTAGGGTTAGCCCTAGTTCTACACCCAAACTACATCTGGGTGTCTACCTCTAGCCGAAGCTTATAGGATAGATGCAGGTTACAAGTGAGGATGGTATTCTAACACAACCCCTTAACCTGCAGAAATCCATAAGCTGTGGAAGAGGGAAGGTAACAACCCCTGAATCAGCCACCGCGGGGAGCAAGCCCCTGAAGGCGTAGAAGTGCAGAGTGGTTAGAACGGGGGAGAGCCTTGGTGAAAAGATCTGCGAGGTTGTCGTAGGAGGCGATCTTGCGAATAGTGATGTGACCATCCTGGACAAGGTCACGAACGAAGTAGTAGCGAAGCTCGATGTGTTTGGAGCGACCATGAAAGACGCCTTCTTTGGTGAGGTGGATGGTACTGTCGTTGTCACACCACAGTGAGGGGCAGGGCTGTGGGGAACCAAGGTCGGTGAGCAGATAGCTGAGCCAGCGTGCCTCCTGAGCCGCCATCGTGACCGCGTACAGTTCGGCTTCGCATGTTGAGAGGGCGACGGAGGACGAGCGGGTGGAGCGCCAGATGATGAGGCCACTTCCAAGTGTAAAGCCATATCCTTGGGAGCTGCGACGGTCGGGCTGTGCATCGGCCCAAGATGAGTCGCTGAAGCCTTGAAGAATGGGTGGGTTCACACCACCAAGAGTGAGCACATGGTCCTTTGTGCCCTGCAGGTAGCGAAGAACCCGCATGGCCGCCTTCCAATGCTCCTCACCATGCCTGCCAGTGCCAACGAACTGCGCTAGAACACTGACTGGGTATGCCAGGTCAGGACGAGTGCAGACCATGGCGTACATCAGGGCCCCAACAAGCTCTGCATAGGGATGAGGGGAGGTGATGGGAGTGGGGGGAGGGGAGAGCCGATGCCCGAATGCAAGTGGTGTGGGGATGGGTTTGCAGGTTTGCATGCCAAACCTCTCAAGAATCTTCTCGATGTAAAAAGACTGAGAGAGGGTGATGGTCTTGGCAATGAGGTCTCGGGTGATCTCCATGCCGAGGTAGTTGCGGACCTCCCCCAGGTCTTTGCAGGCGAGGCGTTTCTGCAGCTCATCTTTGACCTCCTGGAGTTCAGCATCTGTGTCAGCTGCCAGCAGCTTGTCGTCGACGTAGACTAGGATGAAGAAGGGTGATGGGGTGAGGCGTAGGAAGAGGCAAGAGGCAGCACGAGAGGGGCGAAAGCCAAGAGCACGAAGGGTGGAGGATAGTTTGGCGTGCCATTCCCGAGGGGCTTGTTTGAGCCCATAGACCGAGCGTAGTAATTTCCAGACAGTAGCAGGGTCGTGAGGGGCGTGGAAGCTTTTGGGTCGTTCCAGAAAGATGAGTTCGTGAAGGTCGCCTTGTAGAAAGGCGGTGGTGACATCCATGGAATGAAGTATCATCCCACGCCTCCCAACAAAGTCAAAAAACACGCGAATGACCGGCGGAGTGGCGGTGGGTGAGTAGGTCTCGAAGAAGTCGGAGCCATAGGTCTGTGTGAAGTCTTTCGCCACATATCGAGCTTTGTAAAACGGAGCGTCGCCTGGAAGTAGTTTGACTCGGAATAGCCATCTGCCTTTGACCACGTTGTGCTTAGAGGGACGAGGAACGTCGAGAAACGAGCGATTGCTGATGAAGGCATTGCTCTCCTTGACCATGGCCTCGATCCAGAGAGGTGCGTCAAGACAGGCCAGTGCTTGCTCATAGGTGGTGGGTTCGTAGATGGTGGGTGTGGTGGAGAAGAGAAGGACAGTGGTGCTAGCCATTGTGCGGACGACGGGGACGATGGTGGGTGAGAGGAGGTGGAGGAAAAGAAGCTCATCGTGAGAGTCTTCAGAGAGGTCCGAAGTGAGAGGAGGAGGAAGAGGAGGTGGTGGAGTTGCAAGACAGCTGCGCTGGAGGGTCGGGCCGATGCGGGGACACAGCTGCACTGGTGCTCTGCTGCGCTGAGGGTCGGGGCGGGGAGACAGCTGCATTGCAGCTCGGCTTCGCTGAGTTGCCGTGAGGGGCAGGGAGACGGGAGCGCGACTGCCGAGAGAACCTGAGGTGCTGGTGCGGGGGGGAGGGGAGGTGCTATGGTGGCGGAGAAGGGGGACGGATGTGAGAGACTGGAGGGAGGGGGGGGTGGACCTTGGGGTACCAAGAATGGGGACCGTGGAGCGGGTGTGAGGGTAGTGGCGGAATATAAGAGGGGGAGTGGGAAGTAGGGGCCGGGAGGATGGAGGTGGAGTGAGTGGGGGAGGGCGTGGGGAGGAGGGAGGTGGGGGATGTTGTGCATGGAGGGAGGGAGGGGAAGGAGGGGGAGGGGGTGGGGAGGGATGGGGAGGGGCAGCGGGTGGGGAGGGAGGGGGAGGGGCAGCGGGTGGGGAGGGAGGGGCAGCGGGTGGGGAGGGAGGGTGGACGGGGTCAAGGATGTCTCCTGATGAGGCGGGAGCAGAGGGGGGAGGGGGTGGGGGTGCAGGGGGGACAATGGTGGGGGGGGGGGAGAAGGGAAGGGGAGGGGAGAGGGGGTTGGGGGGGAATGGTGTCAGTCCAGAGGAAGGGACGAGTGGTTAGAGGGAGGGGGTTAGGGGCTTTGGGGGAGGTGTAGTACGGGTGGGCTTCATCGAATTCCACATCCCGACTACGAATGAGGCGACCTGAGGGGGGATGGAGGAAGAGATAGTCCGGGGAGGAGGTGTTGTGACCAAGGAAAATGCAGGGGAGAGTGCGGGAGGCTAGCTTCCCAGCTTTGCATGAGCGGTCGACAGGGTGTATGAGAACATACGCCATGGAACCCCACACGCCTAGGGGGGTGATGTCGGGCTTTGTGGATGTCCAGAGCGTGGTGGGAGTGGTGGTGGGCCGGGAGGGATGAGGGTACAAGTTAGTGAGGATGGCAGCGTGGAGGATGGCATAGCCCCAGAGAGAGGGTGGGCAGGAGGCATGGACCATGAGGCACCGAGCAGTCTTGGTGACCTCGCGGACCCTGCTTTCCGCCACGCCATTCTGCTGAGGGGAATGAGGTAGGGTGTAGGTGTGAATAATGCCACGAGTGGTACAGTAGGATGAAATCATGTTGTTAAAGAACTCACCACCGCCATCAGAGTGGAAGCGGGAGACAGGGCGTTTGAAATGGGTGCGTGCTTGTTCAGCCCAGGCAATAATAGCAGCCGGGGCCTCCGCCTTCGTGCGAAGGAGGGAGACGGAGGAGTAGCGACTGTGGTCATCCACCAGGATGAGCAGGTATTTATGACCTTGCCTGGTGGGGGAAGGGTTGGGGCCCCAGAGGTCCATGTGGACGAGATCAAGAGGCTGGGGAGAAAAGGAGGGGTGACTCTTGTGGGGGGCCTGTTTCAGTTTGCTTTCAACGCATACTGAGCAGGGAGGGGAGGGTGATGGGGGGAGAGGGGGAAGGGTGAGGGGGAGTCCTTTGAGGAGTTGGGTGGAGACAGTTAGACGGAGGGTGGCAAAGTTGGGATGACCCAACCTATGGTGAAGGAGAACTGCGGGGTGGGTAAGGTCACGATAGTGACAGGAGGAGGTGGGGGAGGGGGGGGGGGGGGGGAGGAGAGGGGAGGGGGGGGGGGGAGGGGATGGGAGGAGGGGAGGGAAGGGGGAGGGGAGGTGAGGGGAGGGGAAGGGGTGCAGTGGGGGTGATGAGGTGGTGAATGGCGGTGCGAGGGGTGCGGTACGTGTACAGGTTTGTGTGGGGGCAGAGGGGAATGCGACAGATGAAGCGACCAGTGGTGGTGTGAAAGAGGTCACATTGGCGTGCATGACCGGGGAAGAGGGCGGTGATACCGAACCTGGTGAGGTCACATAGTGCTACCAGATTGTTGCGTAGGGAGGGGATGTATAGAGACCTGTGACTGTACCTGAGGGGAAGATGGGACAGGGGAGGGTGGAGGTGTGTCGACTTGTGATGGTGAAGCTGGAGTCAGCTCCGTGGATAGTGGAGGGAGTCGGAAGGGGTACCAGTGTGCCTGCATCGCGCAGGACAGTGTGTGTTGCTCCACTGTCCAGGATAAACTCAAGGCATGACGAGGAGGAGGAAAAGGCGGAGTACTGGAAGAGAGACTCATTAATAGCATGGGCATACAGAGAATCAACAGGAGCAGTGTTAACATGTCCTATGAATCCAGCAGAGGGGAACGGAGTAAAGCCAGGAGGGTTGGAGGAGGAGGAGGGCTGTTCAGCAAGATTAGCAGCAGGTCCAATGGGACCATGACCATATCCAGGAGGTGGGTAAGGCTGGTAAGGCCAGCCAGCATAGGGTGGAGGGTAGTGAGGGGGAGGGACTTGAGGCGGAGGTGTGGGTGGAGGAGGAGTAGGAGTGGGAGTTGGGGTGGATGAGGGGAGAAGATGCTGGACTTGCTGGAGGATGTGAGATGGGAGATGCTGAGTGAGGACATTGTGGAGGTAGGGATGAGCATGGAACCGAACATGATTTTTTTTTGGCTAAAAATGTTCGGGGCGAACGTGTTCGGTGTTCGCCCGAACACGTTCGGTGTTCGCCCCGCTACTGCTGCCGAGCCGCGTCGAACACGAACGCGTTCGTGTTCGTTTCGGGGCAAAAACGAACACGAATGTGTTCGACGCGACTGTCCCGCGATCTACAATTTACGTTGCGGGACATTCTGTTTGAGCTCAAATTTGAGCTCAAACTTAGTCGCGCTATTCAGCAGCAGCCATTACTACCACGCCCCCCCACACAGCACGCCGTTATCACCTCATTAGGACTTAGCGTAATTAAGTAGATACCTTAGGTTAGTCTGTCTAGACTTGGGTATGCGAGATTTTGGTTTTCGGGAAAAGATTAGGCAGGGATATCGCAGAATCTCGTAAGTTGAGGGTTGGGGTTAAGCATTCGCAAATTTCGTATGCATGGGATTGAGAGGAATAGCGTTCGCATATTTTGTGAGTTGGGGGGTTGTGGGGGGTTGGCGAGCAATCGCAAATTTCGTAGATATAGAATGGGGAGAGCATTTCGCCTTACGTGGGGGGAAATCCAGGTGGCGAGCTGGATAAAAAAAACTATGCATCCGTAACTAGATCTCGCAAAATGCTGATCCAGCCTAGATATTTTCCCCCAGTTTCCCGCAATTCCCCTGCCAGCCGTTGCGTATTTCGAGCGTAACAAAGGATGCCCAGGGGCGAACACATTCGTGTTCGCCTCGAACACGTTCGTGTTCGCCTTAGCATGCAAGATGTTCGCCCTCACAGGCGAACATCGAACACCCTTTTTTGTAAAAGGTGTTCGGCGAACCGAACAGTGTTCGGTTCGCCGAACGGCAGTGTTCGAGCTGGGGCGAACGCGAACACGTTCGTGTTCGCCCCTTGCTCATCCCTATGTGGAGGTTGGGAGTAGAGGGTTGATAGGCAGGGAGAGTGCGAATGTCATGGAGGGAGGGGCGTGGGAAAACAGTGTTCCAGCGAGGTGGAGTGCCAACGTTGCCACGTGCAAACCACTCGTCAGTGAGGGCTTTGAAGCACGTGTCAGTGGTATGAGTGGTCTGAGAGCATGGCTGACCTTTGTTGGAGCCATAGCGGATGATGTACTGACACGGGGGAAGGGTGCCTGGAGGTGAGGTGTATCCACCACGTCTGCCACGGCCACCACCACGTCCACCACTGCGTCCTCCTCCTCTTCCTCCACCACGTCCACCTCCACCACTGCCAGGACTGCCATGGCCACCACCTCCGCCGCTGTTCTGGTTGCCTGTGGGGGCTTTGCGGGTCTGAGCTGCATTGATAGTGGTGGAGTCGCGTTGAAGGTCGGCTTCGCTGTCAAGTAGCCACTCGATAGTGTCAGTCACGGGAGGAGGGCGACGATAGCGGGAGGCGAAGGTGATGCGATATGTGTCATATGTGGGGGGGAGGCAGTCGAGAATGCGTGCAGTGAGGAGAGACTCCGAGATGACAATACCCCGATCGTTGAGGCGTTGTGCAGTATCAATGAGGCGGCGGGTGTAGGCAGCAGCAGTGGGAGAGGAGTCAAGGGTGGTGTCTTGAAATTTGCGAAAGAGTGCAAGGAGGGAGCGAAGGTCCCGCCGATCATACTGTGTAGAGAGGGTTTTCCAGAGGCCTAAGGAGGAGGAGGGTCGGAGGTCACGTTTGAGGTGTGAGGGGATGCAGGAGAAGATGATGGCGAGAGCACGATGATCCGCAACACGCCATGCTGCGACATCTTTGTGAAGTTTGAGTAGCTTTGCAGCATGATCCCTCTCATATTTTTCGTATTGGAGGATACGCGCAGTGGCGACAGCATGTGCTTCCTCAGCAACACGGTATGCTTCACGCTGGATGGTGTAGTTGTCACGTAGCTTGTTGTAGTTGTTCAAGTTGGCCGCCCAGCGGTCCGGGCTATCATCATGAACTGGAGCATGGGGGGCGGGGTCAACGGGTTCTGGAAGTGGAGGGGCGTCGGGAGGAGGGGGATTAAGAGGAGGAGGAAGAACGGGAGGAAGGCCGTTAGGGTTTTCAAGGACTATGTTAAGAAGACAGTAGTCTTGAATGATGACGGAGCCAAGGTGGGTGTGAAGGGTATCCTCGAAGGACGCCCAATTCACAGCCGTCGTGTCATGAAGAAGTTCGAGCTTATCAATAGCTCCGAGCTCGAGAGGAGTCGAGTAGTCCATCATGAGGGGGAGGGGAGTGACGGCACCGGCTTGAGGGCGGGTGCGGTCAAGGAGGGGGGAGGGACGACACCACCTGGAGGGGTGGTGCGGTCACGTTGCGCACGGTTGAACCGTGGTACCCGCGGCTGCGCCTCGTCGCCCGCGGCTGCGCCTCGTTGACCGCGGCTGCGCCTCGTCGCCCGCGGCTGCGCCTCGTCGCCCGTGGCTGCGCCTTGTCGCCCGCGGCAGCGCGTCCGTCCGCGGATGCGCCTCGTCGCCCGCGGCAGCGCGTCCGTCCGCGGATGCGCCTCGTCGCCCGCGGGTGCGCGCCCGTCCGCGGATGCGCCTCGTCGCCCGCGGGTGCGCGCCCGTCCGCGGATGCGCCTCGTCGCCCGCGGGTGCGCGCCCGTCCGCGGATGCGCCTCGTCGCCCGCGGGTGCGCGCCCGTCCGCGGATGCGCCTCGTCGCCCGCGGGTGCGCGCCCGTCCGCGGATGCGCCTCGTCGCCCGCGGGTGCGCGCCCGTCCGCGGGTGCGCCTCGTCGCCCGCGGGTGCGCGTCCGTCCGCGGGTGCGCGTCCGTCCGCGGGTGCGCGTCCGTCCGCGGATGTGCCTCGTCGTCCGCGGGTGTGCGTCCGTCCGCGCGTTTTAGGTTACGACGGACAGCCGCCCAATGTCACGCCCGTCCGCGTCAGTCGCGGATGTCGCTCCCGTCCGCGGTCGTCGTGGATGGCACGCTCGTCCGCCCCTGTCGAGGGTGTTGCGCCCGTCCGCGCTCGTCACGCTGAAGTCGCGGCGGTCGACCGTGGGCGTGACGGTCGCGTCGTCCGTCCGCGGTCGTCGAAATCGCGTCGGTCGACCGTCGCCGTGGCGATCGCGTCGTCCGCCCGTGGTCGCCTAGGGTGCGATGGTCGGCCGTGACGATCGCGTCGTCTACGGTCGTCGATTTGGCGACGGTTGACCGACGGTCGCGATCTTCGTCGTGGTCGCGGAAAGGGGGGAGGGGGGCCTTAAGCGGCAAATCTGACCGTGAGAACGGAGATTGGGCTGAGATTTCGCGTAGGGGGGAGGGGGGCCGTGAGGGCGTAAGCGTGCACTAGGCACTAAGTACGACTTAGTTGTCGTGTGAGGGGAATGGGCGTGATTCGGCACGCGGAGGTATGGTTCCTAGGATCGAAGAAGGTGTTAGCCGTTTGGCTCTGATTACCATGTGAGAAAACGAGAAGATGATACATAGTTGTGCTAGGAGGGAGGGTTTGATTGGGAACTTAGCCAACATTATTGGCCCCCACCAATAAGTTGGGTTGAGGAATAATGGGGGGACCAATAATGTTGACCAAAAGTGGTTCAACATTATTGGGGGGGCCAATAATTCCCTATCCAACCTTGGGGGCCAAATAATTGGGCCAAGTGTTGAGTTCCAACCCCCAACTAGGGTTAGCCCTAGTTCTACACCCAAACTACATTTGGGTGTCTACCTCTAGCCGAAGCTTATAGGATAGATGCAGGTTACAAGTGAGGATGGTATTCTAACACCTCCCACACCTCGCTGTCACTGCGCTCGTTGAACGTTGCGCAGGCTGAATAAGAGAGGAGAAGGGAGGCAAAAGGCAGCTCAAACAGTGCGTGGCTTAAAGTCACTCGGAAATGCGAAAAAACCAGACCCTAATATCTTCAACTCTACCCCAACAGCATTGAAGTGCATGTATCCTTCTCAGCAATAAGGAGCAGAGAGGCTCAACGTTTTTGGTCGACTCAAAGTCATCACAGCACGGCTAACCAGTGAAGAGTACAGGCGTCTGGGGAATGGTCATGAGCGCACGCTGCACGTCCGTCACTTCAGAGGCTTCACAGCTAGGCAACCAAACAAACAACATTGGATGGTCTGTGCTCTTCTCACCAGTGAATAGCACGGGCGTCTGGGGGATGATCATGAGCGCACGGCGCACGTCCGTCACTCCAAACAGCTTCAGATCCTGACCGTCGATGCAGATGCGCCCGCTCTCGATCTCGGCCAATCGGAAAAGCGAGTTGAACATCGACGACTTGCCTGCAGTGCCAAGGACACGAAGAGGGTGAATAAGACTATTGAGGCCCCTCAAAGGTAAACCAGTGCAGTGAGCGAGCCCCCTCCGCACGGGCGGCAGGTCCTACATGCATGCATGGTGTGGTGATGGCTCTCAGCTAGGCCCATTCCTTTTGAGAATTCTCAAAAACCAGCTCTCAGCTAGGCCCATTCCTTTTGAGAATTCTCAAAAACCAGCTCTCAGCTAGGCCCATTCCTTTTGAGAATTCTCAAAAACCAGCTCTCAGCTAGGCCCATTCCTTTTGAGAATTCTCAAAAACCAGCTCTCAGCTAGGCCCATTCCTTTTGAGAATTCTCAAAAGTGATTTCAACATAACCCACTTCCTCACCTGCGCCAGTGCGCCCCACCACGCCGACCTTCTCTCCCCCTTGCACCAGCACAGAGAGCCCCCTGAGCCCCCTGTAGCACCCTGTAGCACCCTAGGCACACTCCCTCTTCCTTCTTCCTCACCTGCGCCAGTGCGCCCCACCACGCCGACCTTCTCTCCCCCTTGCACCAGCGCAGAGAGCCCCCTCAGCACGGGCGGCAGGTCCGGCCGGTACCGCATCACCACGTCCTCAAATAATACCTCCCCCTGCAGCGGTCACCTGCGGTGGCCGGTGGCTCGGAATGATGGCCGGCGCTTCGGGAGGGATGTCGGCGTAACTGCCCACCCGCTCCACCGCGTTGAACGAGGTTTCTGAAAAAAAAAAAAAAAACACAAAAAAACAAAAAACACACATAGAAGAAGGGGTGGGAGACAAGGAATAAGGAAGGAGGGAGGGAACTGAGTGCGGTAATGGAGGGGAGGAGCGACAAAATGAGCCCCATCACGGGCGCCAGTGCATGCAACCCTAAGCGCCCCTAGCAACACTGGCACCAGAGTGACGTGAATGCCTTACCAGCAGCAGCGAGCAAAAGCTTACCAGCGACAGAGAGCAGGCGCAGCACCATGGTCATCATGGCTGTGATTTGCAGGGCATACACCAGAATGAGCCCCATCACTGGTGCCAGTGCTGCCTGGTCGCCCGCCCTCTGCACGTCCATCACTGCGAAAACCGCCGTGGCTGGTGATGGGAAGGGTAGCAATGCAGTGGGTTCGGTACAGTGAGATTGAGGGAGGTGAGACGTGGTTCATGAACCCCGTCACCAGCGCCAATGATGCCTGGTCGCCCGCCCGCTGCACGTCCATCACTGCGAATACGGCCATGGCTGGTGGTGGGCGAAGTGCAAGGGGTACAATGAGGTAGAATTCGGTGCACTGCAGTTGGGTTAGGTGCAGTGCGGTTGGGTTACGTGCAGTGCAATGGAGGGAGGAAGCGCAATGTGGAGAAAAGAGCCGCATGACTGGTGCCAATGGTGCCTGGTCGCCCGCCCTCTGCACGTCCATCACTGCGAATACCGCAGTGGCTGACAGTGGGGTTCGGTACAAAGGGATTCGAGGGAGGTGCAAAGGGGTCAATAAACCCCATCGCATCACGAGCGCCAGTGCTGCCCGGTCGCCCGCTCTCTGCACGTCCATGACTGCAAGCAAACACCGCCGGGTGGTGTGGTGAATGAGACCCATCACGGGTGCCAGTGCAGCCTGGTCGCCCGCCCGCTGCACGTCCATCACTGTGAATACCGCAGTGGCTGGTGGGAGGGCGGGGTGGGAGGAGGAGTGCGATTCGGAAACGACTCAACACAGAATGAGCCCCACGACTGCCACCACCGGTACTGCCTGGTCGTCTGCCCTCTGCAGCAGGTTCATTTATCAACTGCAAACACCGCCGTAGCTGCAGGTGGGACAGAAGGGGTGCAATGCGGTGGGGTTAGGTGCAGTGGGATAGAGGGAGGTGGGATGCGGTGAAAGAACCCCATTACAGAAGCAGTGGTTGTCTGCCCTTCGCGCATCCATCTCAGCAAACACTGCCATGGCTGAAAGGGATGTGGGTAGATGGACTTAGATGAAGGGAGGTGCAATGCGGTGTGAAACGAAACTTTGCAAGTTGCAAGCAACCGTCATCTGCTACCATTTCGCTCGATGGCTTTTGCCAGGTGCAATGCTGTAGGGTCAGGTGCAGTGGGATAGAGGGAGCTGCAATGCGATGTGGTAAAGCGAGTTGCTGTGACGAAGGCTTGAACCAATGCCGAAGATCATGAGTTCCTTGAGAAACCCGGGGCAGATGACTTGGGAGGTTGAGAGGATAACAGGGAACAATTGGTAGAAATAGGACTAGAAGGGCGGTTCAAAACCTTTTCTACTCCGAAGATCATGCGTGTTCCTTGAGAAACCCGGGGCAAATGACAGTGACACGCAACGGGTTACTGAGACGCCTGAGCCGAGGCGACTACTAAGGTGCCGCAAGGACCTTGCTAGACAGACATTTATGAGGTTTTGAGCAGACATTTACCGACAAACCAAAGATCATGAGGCCTCCCAGGAACTCAAGGTGGATAGCGAGCCAGCGGATGGCGAGCGAGCGGATGGCGAATCACCTGCGCTAAGACGAGGCGATTACTGAGGTGCTGCAACGACCATGCTAGAATCACGAGGCTGAGCTGAACTGAGCCAAGTAAGACTCGGAACCCAAAAGGCATTACCTACCGGAGATCACGGGACCCTGAAAAGCATTACGTCACTGACCGAAGATCATGAGTCCACCCAAGAACTCAAGGCGGAAGGCGAGCCAGCGGTTGGCGCTCATGCTGACGAGGGTGAAGCGAGTGTTGCGGTCCACCGCCCGGCCGTTCATGGCCGCCATGCGCTGTGCTGCCCTGTACGCTCTTATGGTCGCCAGCCCATTCAGTGCCTCCGCGAACTGACGTGGGGTGGGGTTGTGTGTGTGCGGGGAAGAGGGGGGAAAGGGGAGATTGGTGGCGCCCGTTCAAGGCCGCCATGTGCTGCGCTGCCCTGTACACCCTGATGGTTGCCAGCCCGTTCAGTGCCTCCGCAAACTGAATGTGAGATGGGGTTGTGTGTGGGGGGTGATGGGGGGAAAAATGGGGGTTGGTGGCGCCCGTTCATCCCCGCCATGCGCTGTGCTGCCCTGTACACCCTGATGGTCGCCAGCCCGTCCAGTGCTTCCGCGAACTGAGAGGGGGATGGGTTTTGTGTGCATGTGGAGAGGGGGAGAGAAGGGGGGGTTGGTGGCGCTCGTTCATCCCCGCCATGCGCCATGCTGCTGCCCTGTACGCCCTTATAGTTGCCAGCCCGTTCAGTGCCTCGGCGAACTGAGAGAGGGCAAGACGAAGTGGGGAACGGCGGGTTGGAGAGGGAAACGGGGACACAAATCCACAGAATTAGGAGGGAGAGGACGCGGGGTTTTAAGGGAGGATGGGGTGGGGCTGTTGACGGGACAATGGCCCCGCCCTCGCTTGGGCGAAGCCGACGAGGCTGACCGACCCGCAAGGTGTGCAGCCGGTTGGACTTGGTGGTCGGCGTCGACCAGGAGGAGGAAGTCGACGAAGTTGGTCGACAACTTCTGCCGGGTCGCCTCGAGGCCAACATCGGCGAAGCCGACTTTGACGCTGGCCGACAAAAGGAAGTCAGCGGGCAGCGCTAGGCTTCGGCGGTCGTCGACGTGCGGGTGCCGACTTGTGGGCGCCGATGGCCTCGCCTGGTCGACAAGGTAACCTGGTCGACGAAGTTTTGCGGGGGTGCGCGAACGTCGTCCAGGTGGTTTTGACGATGTCGAACTACGTGACTCTGTCACATGGTGGACGTGGGGCATCTGGAGCAACCGTTGGCACGTGGCCGACTTTGCACCTGCGCAATGCGCGTGACGGCGCACGACGTGCTTAACCGTCTACCTGCACCTACTTGGTAGGTGCGCACATGCGCACATGGTCACCTGCGGCTGCAACTCTGACAAGCCGCCTTGTTGCAGCGTTGGCAAGCCGCCCTGATGTAAAGCTAGCAGGCCGCCAACTTCCAGCGTTGGCAAGCCGTCTTCCAGCTGCGTTGGCACGCCGCCATCTTGCGGCGCTGGCAAGCCGCGCTTGTGCTGCGCTGGAGGTCGACTCGTTTGCTTGCTAGGTTGCTAGTGTGTCTCTGTTGCAGTCATTTCGTCATACCATTGTGTACAATTGTTCTCATTATTTTTGAGTGAAACTCTTGCCAATTTTCCCCGTGAACACGCAAGTAGAGAGAATGCAAGGAACGCATCGATCACCCATACAACCCCGTAGTCTCCCACGTAGTCTAGCTACTACCGTTGTAGAGTGACTCTCCGCAGGGGCATGGGAGAGCAAGAGGGGAAGAGAGGAAGCATAGAAGAGGAGGTGAGCTGGAAGGATGGAGAGGACCGACTCACAAACCAGGGAGTACACGGGAGAGCGCGAGACATAGTCCCAATGCTTGACCTCCCGGGTGGTGTTTTAAAAGCAGATTTAGACGACATAGAAGTGCAGCAGCAGCGGCACGATGGCCCAAACGGCGAGGACTTACAAGGCATCTCTCAACAGCCAAAGTGGACACACACCTGGGAGTAGACGGGCAAGCGTGTGACAGAGTCCTGGCGCTTCATCTCCCTTGCAGTGTTCTAGAAGTGGAGGTAGACCACATAGAAGAGCAGCAGCAGCGGCACGATGGCCCAGACATTTGACTTAAAAATCGGAGCTGCCTGAAAGCATACCTGGGAGTAGACGGGAGAGCGCGTCACCGAGTCCCAGCGCTTGACCTCCCGTGCGGTGCATTGGAAGTAGAGGTAGACGATATAGAAGAGGAGCAGCAGCGGCACGATGGCCCAGAGGGCGACGGTGTTGAGAACGCCGATGAGGGCGAAGGTGGAGAGCAGCTGGAAGATGCCGCCCAGGCACAGCGACGTGTACTGCGCTAGATTCTTGTCTATGTCCGCCGTGTCCTTGGTGAAGCGGTTGATCAGACGCCCCACCTGGAGTGGGGAGAGTGGGAAAGTAGGGGGATTGAGGGGAAGGGGAGTGGGATATGCCATTCAGACTCAGTGACGTGTACTGCGTGAGGTGACTTTTGAGTCAACTCAAAAGTCAACTAGTGACGTGTACTGCGCGAGGCTCTTGCTGATGTCCGAGGTGTTTTTGGGGAATCGGTTGATCAGGCGACCCATGTAGGAGGGGAGAGTGGGGAAGTAGGGGGGTTGAGTGAGGGGAAGGGGAGTGGGATATGCCTTTCAAATTCATGTAGGAGGGGAAGACGTGTACTTCGCGAGGTTCATGCTGATGTCCGAGGTGTTCTTGGGGAATGGGTTGATCAGGCGACCCATGTAGGAGGGGTGGAGGATGGAGGGGAGGGGAGAACGCAGTCCAGGCAGAGCCACGTGTCCTGTGTGAGATTCTTGTCAAAGGTGACCCATCTGCTCTTAGCGGATCAGTTTATCAAGAGGTGATCCACCTGCTCTTAGCGGATCAGTTTATCAAGAGGTGATCCACCTGCTCTTAGCGGATCAGTTTATCAAGGAGGCGAATCGGCATAGCGAGAATCGCCAGGAGAGGGGCAGAAGAGAGGGGAAGTGAAGGGTTGGCATGCTGGGAAGGGGCGATCCGGAAATATATGTCGGAAAAACTTGTGTGTAGGAGTTCATTCAGTACTCACAGGATGTATTTTGAGGCGCCTCAAAATACACCTCAATGCTTGGAAGGGGCGATCGGATCGGGAAATATATGTCGGAAAAACTTGTATGCAGGAGCTCATTCAGAACTCACAGGATATTTCAGTACACTTGACAGGAATATAGAAATCATGAATCACAGGTTTGGTGTGAGAACATCCACACAGGAAGACATGGGACATGGGAGCTTGGAGATCACGACTCACGGGGTAGGTGTGAAAGAAGGACATGGGGGCTTGAAAAACAACTGAAGTGATGACTCACGGGGTTGGTGTGAAAGAAGGACATGGGGGCTTGAAAAACAACTGAAGTGATGACTCACGGGGTTGGTGTGAAAGAAGGACATGGGGGCTTGAAAAACAACTGAAGTGATGACTCCCGGGGTAGGTGTGAAAGAAGGACATGGGGGCTTGAAAAACAACTGAAGTGATGACTCACGGGGTAGGTGTGAAAGAAGGACATGGGGGCTTGAAAAACAACTTAAGTGATGACTCACGGGGTTGGTGTGAAAGAAGGACATGGGCGCTCGCAGAATGGCCGCCAGCATGGCATCGTGCAGGCGACGAGCCGCTCTCTGGGAGGAAAACACCTGGAAGGCGCCAGGGAGAGGAGAAAGAAGGAAGATGTGGGATGGTACGAGTATTGAGTTTTGAGTGGACTCAAAACGCGGAGAATGGCCGCCAGCATAGCATCGTGCAGACGACAAGCCGCTCTCTGGGAGGAAAACACCTGCAAGTTGCAGGAGGAGAGGAGAGGAGCAAGAAGGAAGAAGTGGGACGAGAAAGAAAAAGTCTGATGAAGCGGCGCTGAAGTAAGCGCTTGTTAAAAATGAATTCAAGGGCTGTCAACCTATTGCCAACCACACAAACATGAAAACTCAGCACATGACTCTTCCTTGTCATACATACTTTCTCCATGTACCAGCCAATCAAGGTGCATTGAGGTGTATTTTGAGGCGCCTCAAAATAAACCACAAACATGAAAACTCAGCACATGACTCTTCCTTGTCATACATACTTTCTCCATGTACCAGTCAATCAAGCAGTAAGCACTGAGAAATTTTATTGAGAAGCACCGACCAGCCCTTAACTAGAAGCACTGACCAGGAAGTACTGGTTGGCGAAGGTGAGCAGCACTTGGCCCAGCGAGATGAGTGAGTAGACTGCCACAAAGTACAGCGACCCTTGGCCACTGGGAGACACGGACCCGGTCCACACGCTGATCCATACGCTCGCCAGCACCCTGGCCGCCTCCACGAGCACGTAGAGCGAGATGAGCACCGCCAGCACGCCTGACCCGCCCATGGCCCTCACATACCGCCACACCACCGCTGCGCTCACCACCCCCTGCGCCTTCTCCTCCGCCTGCACTAGGGTTGTTCCCCCTGCTCCGCTCTTCCCCCCCTTCCCTGCTCCGCTCTTCTCCCCCTTCCCTGCTTCGCTCTTCTCCCCCTTCCCTGCTCCACTCTTCTCCCCAACCTGGTTGCTACTGCTAGAATCGCCGTTCTCCACAACAGCAGAACCACCACCATCACCACCACCACCACCACCACCACCACCACTGCTGCTGCTGCTACTGCCAGACATTGCAGCAGCAGCTGCCGCTTCAGCGCTCGTCTCACCTCCACCACCGCCTGCGTCCCCTGCTGTTTCTCCTCCGCCTTCCCCGCCCACCTCCTCCTCTCCGTGCTCCTCCAGCGCGCCTGCCTTCTCCAGCAGCCTCTGGAAGTTGGGTGCGGACGCCTTCAGCTGCAAGTACGGCCCCTGCTCTGCTATGCGCCCCCCCTCCACCATCACCACCCAGTCCACGGCTGAAAGGAGGAGGGAGAGCGGGGAGGAGGTAGAGGGCATGATCTGATGGTGCGAGCCCTGCTCCCATGCTGATCAAACACACAGTGTCTCATACATTTCACTGTACGACGTATTTTTAAGCGTCTAAAACTAATTGAGTAAACACACAGTGTCCCGTACATTTCACTGTACAACATTCTCAGTTAATTGAAAGGATTTGGTGACGAGGGGGCTACCTGGCAGGAAGTGCAGCTGGTTTGTGACCATGATGTGTGTGCGGCCGGCAAGCTCTTTTGAGGCGCCTCAAAAGGGATTCAGTGGAGGGGGTTACCTGGCAGGAAGTGCAGCTGGTTTGTGACCATGATGCGCGTGCGGCCGGCAAGCTCTTTTGAGGCGCCTCAAAAGGGATTCAGTGGAGGGGGTTACCTGGCAGGAAGTGCAGCTGGTTTGTGACCATGATGCGCGTGCGGCTGGCAAGCTCCGTCCTCACACACGTGTCGTACACCTGCATACATGCATACATGCACACATGCATACGTGCATACATGCACACATGCATACGTGCATACATGCACACCTGCATACGTGCATACATGCACACATGCATACGTGCATACATGCACACATGCATACGTGCATACATGCACACATGCATACGTGCATACATGCACACATGCATACGTGCATACATGCACACATGCATACGTGCATACATGCACACATGCATACGTGCATACATGCACACATGCATACGTGCATACATGCACACATGCATACGTGCATACATGCACACATGCATACGTGCATACATGCACACATGCATACGTGCATACATGCACACATGCATACGTGCATACATGCACACATGCACACATGCACACATGCATACGTGCATACATGCACACATGCACACATGCACACATGCACACATGCATACGTGCATACATGCACACATGCACACATGCACACATGCACACATGCATACGTGCATACATGCACACATGCACACATGCACACATGCATACGTGCATACATGCACACATGCACACATGCACACATGCATACGTGCATACATGCACACATGCACACATGCACACATGCATACGTGCATACATGCACACATGCACACATGCACACATGCACACATGCATACGTGCATACATGCACACATGCACACATGCACACATGCATACGTGCATACATGCACACATGCACACATGCACACATGCATACGTGCATACATGCACACATGCACACATGCACACATGCATACGTGCATACATGCACACATGCACACATGCACACATGCACACATGCATACGTGCATACATGCACACATGCACACATGCACACATGCATACGTGCATACATGCACACATGCACACATGCACACCTGCATACGTGCATACATGCACACATGCACACATGCACACATGCACACATGCATACGTGCATACATGCACACATGCATACGTGCATACATGCACACATGCATACGTGCATACATGCACACATGCACACATGCACACATGCATACGTGCATACATGCACACATGCACACATGCACACATGCATACATGCACACATGCACACATGCACACATGCATACGTGCATACATGCACACATGCACACATGCACACATGCATACGTGCATACATGCACACATGCACACATGCACACATGCACACATGCTTACGTGCATACATGCACACATGCACACATGCACACATGCATACGTGCATACATGCACACATGCACACATGCACACATGCATACGTGCATACATGCACACATGCACACATGCACACATGCACACATGCATACATGCATACATGCACACATGCACACATGCATACGTGCATACATGCACACATGCACACATGCACACATGCATACGTGCATACATGCACACATGCACACATGCACACATGCACACATGCATACGTGCATACATGCACACATGCACACATGCACACATGCACACATGCATACGTGCATACATGCACACATGCACACATGCACACATGCATACGTGCATACATGCACACATGCACACATGCACACATGCATACGTGCATACATGCACACATGCACACATGCACACATGCATACGTGCATACATGCACACATGCACACATGCACACATGCACACATGCATACGTGCATACATGCACACATGCACACATGCACACATGCATACGTGCATACATGCACACATGCACACATGCACACATGCATACGTGCATACATGCACACATGCACACATGCACACATGCATACGTGCATACATGCACACATGCACACATGCACACATGCACACATGCATACGTGCATACATGCACACATGCACACATGCACACATGCATACGTGCATACATGCACACATGCACACATGCACACATGCATACGTGCATACATGCACACATGCACACATGCACACATGCATACGTGCATACATGCACACATGCATACGTGCATACATGCACACATGCATACGTGCATACATGCACACATGCACACATGCACACATGCATACGTGCATACATGCACACATGCACACATGCACACATGCATACATGCACACATGCACACATGCACACATGCATACGTGCATACATGCACACATGCACACATGCACACATGCATACGTGCATACATGCACACATGCACACATGCACACATGCACACATGCATACGTGCATACATGCACACATGCACACATGCACACATGCATACGTGCATACATGCACACATGCACACATGCACACATGCACACATGCATACGTGCATACATGCACACATGCACACATGCACACATGCATACGTGCATACATGCACACATGCACAGATGCACACATGCATACGTGCATACATGCACACATGCACACATGCACACATGCATACGTGCATACATGCACACATGCACACATGCACACATGCACACATGCATACGTGCATACATGCACACATGCACACATGCACACATGCATACGTGCATACATGCATACATGCACACATGCATACGTGCATACATGCACACATGCATACGTGCATACATGCACACATGCACACATGCACACATGCATACGTGCATACATGCACACATGCACACATGCACACATGCATACATGCACACATGCACACATGCACACATGCATACGTGCATACATGCACACATGCACACATGCACACATGCATACGTGCATACATGCACACATGCACACATGCATACGTGCATACATGCACACATGCACACATGCACACATGCATACGTGCATACATGCACACATGCACACATGCACACATGCATACGTGCATACATGCACACATGCACACATGCACACATGCACACATGCATACATGCATACATGCACACATGCACACATGCACACATGCATACGTGCATACATGCACACATGCACACATGCATACGTGCATACATGCACACATGCACACATGCACACATGCACACATGCATACGTGCATACATGCACACATGCACACATGCACACATGCACACATGCATACGTGCATACATGCACACATGCACACATGCACACATGCATACGTGCATACATGCACACATGCACACATGCACACATGCATACGTGCATACATGCACACATGCACACATGCACACATGCATACGTGCATACATGCACACATGCACACATGCACACATGCACACATGCATATGTGCATACATGCACACATGCACACATGCACACATGCATACGTGCATACATGCACACATGCACACATGCACACATGCATACGTGCATACATGCACACATGCACACATGCACACATGCATACGTGCATACATGCACACATGCACACATGCACACATGCACACATGCATACGTGCATACATGCACACATGCATACGTGCATACATGCACACATGCATACGTGCATACATGCACACATGCACACATGCACACATGCATACGTGCATACATGCACACATGCACACATGCACACATGCATACATGCACACATGCACACATGCACACATGCATACGTGCATACATGCACACATGCACACATGCACACATGCATACGTGCATACATGCACACATGCACACATGCACACATGCACACATGCATACGTGCATACATGCACACATGCACACATGCACACATGCATACGTGCATACATGCACACATGCACACATGCACACATGCATACGTGCATACATGCACACATGCACACATGCACACATGCACACATGCATACATGCATACATGCACACATGCACACATGCACACATGCATACATGCACACATGCACACATGCATACGTGCATACATGCACACATGCACACATGCACACATGCATACGTGCATACATGCACACATGCACACATGCACACATGCATACGTGCATACATGCACACATGCACACATGCACACATGCACACATGCATACATGCATACATGCACACATGCACACATGCACACATGCATACATGCACACATGCACACATGCATACGTGCATACATGCACACATGCACACATGCACACATGCATACATGCATACATGCACACATGCACACATGCACACATGCACACATGCATACGTGCATACATGCACACATGCACACATGCATACATGCACACATGCACACATGCACACATGCATACGTGCATACATGCACACATGCACACATGCACACATGCACACATGCATACATGCACACATGCACACATGCACACATGCACACATGCACACATGCATACGTGCATACATGCACACATGCATACGTGCATACATGCACACATGCATACGTGCATACATGCACACATGCACACATGCACACATGCATACGTGCATACATGCACACATGCACACATGCACACATGCATACATGCACACATGCACACATGCACACATGCATACGTGCATACATGCACACATGCACACATGCACACATGCATACGTGCATACATGCACACATGCACACATGCACACATGCACACATGCATACGTGCATACATGCACACATGCACACATGCACACATGCATACGTGCATACATGCACACATGCACACATG